GCTCTTTTCTTCCATACTACTTTGTTTTTGTTTAGGAATCGTAGTAGCCAACTTCCTCGTCATTGAAAAGTCCGCATATTTTTCTCGCTTTTATTAAAAAATTTAGGAAGAAGCGTTTCGCAAATGTATGTTTAAATTTGCATTTGCAAATAAACTTCAAGAATACAACAATTTTTGTGTACTATCGATAAGCAATTTTTGGATTTGCCCTAGCAGTAAGCATTTCTATGTTCATAATTTCCGTGCAAAAGATTGCAAAACGGATTAATATCATGAAATGCCTTAAATGATTATGTATTACTGAGGCAGATAGATCTGTATGAATCATTTGGAAAAGGTGCTTCAGAACTGGCTGCAGCTGCCCACCAGGGCAGGTAGCCTTCTTTGTTTGGCCTTCAAGAGAATCGCATTGGTTTTGAAACCTTTGGCTCTGCTGTTTTCACCATCGTACGACGTTTGCATGCTGTTATATTTTGTTTAAAATCTGCATTATTCGATTCTTTATTTGCATTAGTATTATCGTGAATCTAGATTGAGATCTATAATCTTCGCAGACGAAGAAAATCGTTTTAATCTAAAGCCAGGGCTCCTTTGCTTCAGTTCATCTTTATCATTTCTTGTTAATCCCTTTGTTCATCTTCAAGACTGTATCTTGCCTTTAGTCAGATTTTTACAGAAACTGTTTGCAAAAGGAATTCTAATCACAACAACAATCTATCTTTGGATTTTTCTCGGATTTTTTTCAAAGCAAAGAATTGATACAGTTTCAATTACTACCGCAAACATTATTCTTAGCAGAAGCAGTCTCCTCTTGTCTGATAATGCTTAAGTCTTTTCTTAGTCTACGCCATGATAATCATTCACAAGAAATCAGATTGCTATCTTATTAGTTCAGTGATCAAAGATAGGAGCTATAAAAACTAATAAGAATTCTAGACGTGTCTGTTCCTTCATCAACGGATAGTAAGACATCTCGCCCTTCTGCATATATGTTGTACTGCAATTTTTCAGTTGTTCATATACCGATTTAAAAGTGGCTTTCAAATGTGTAAAGAAGATCTTTGCCTTCCAATGACAGCTGATGGTGATGGCAGCTGCAAAGTTTTTAAGGGCATCGCTGATTTGTTTTTTTTTTCTCCTATCAGTGATAAAGCTGTTTTCTAGTTTAATTTCAGGTATAAATCTAATATTGACTCTTTTTTGCTGCTAACTGCAATTACCATTTTTTTATTTGCATTTTTCATTTGCCTATGACAACAAGCAAACATGAAAATGCCGGGGAGCATTCTAACATGCTCGGGACCTCTGCATATGCTAAGAATCGATTCTTTGATATATTCATAGCATTCGGAACCGTTGCTTCCTGTTCTAGTAGAAGTCTTTTTTGTCACACGGAATGCATCTGGAAGCAATAAACCTACTTTTTAAATGTCAAGTCATCATTTTTCGTAGGTTACCAGAACACTGCGTGCATCCTTAAGTAATACCAATATCCTGTACCCAAAAGTCATACGTCTCCTTTGTGCTACATCTACCTAGCAATACAACTGCCGTGCCAGTGTTAAAGCGAACAATTTTTGTTATAATTGTAGTAAATATACAACACTGGGGTTTCATCTGCAGCTCTTTCAATCGTAAAAATGGCTGTCTAATTTTTCGTGTTTTGTCCAGTTCTGTTGATCTCATGTATTACGTACATGAATCAAAATTAATCCTTGCACATAAGATAGCTAGGAAATCTTGCCTACTGAGCTCACACATGCACTATTTTGCGAACAAGGATTGATTTGTTCTTAATCAGTTGATCTCTTCTTCGACACAAAAGCCTGTTCAAATTTGTTAGAACAAGACAATCTGGTTGGTTAAAAGTCACCAGATTGACGTCAAACATAATCACAAATTTTTGTTGCCTTATAAACTTGTTGATGTCCTGTGAGTCTCTCTACAACATAGTAGAAGAACAGATTATGGTGGTTGACGAATTAAGCTTTTTAGTAAAGCCTATTTCATTAAAAGTTATCTTCCTCGAAGCGATTTACAAGCTTTCGATGTTGAGTCATTGCTTAATATAAACTTGTCTGTGATGATAGAAAGCACTCGATGCATATGACTGGAACCTCTTTTAATTACCTCTTTTAATTACGTCTTCTTAGACCGTTAAACTTCCATTATTTGTGTGTTATAAGACTCCATTATTTTGTGTTGCCGTTGCTGGACTTTGATTTCTTTTCAATGACGCCATGATCTGTTGGAAGCATTTTAAAATATTCCTGCTCAGACCTTTTCGACAAATAATAAACCTTGCTCGTGTCATTCTAAATCTACAGCCTTGATTGATAGTTTCACTTGAAAGCATAAAATTTATAGTATAAAATGATGAAAGCATAAAAGTGAGTATAATTGATACCAGCAAACCTAATGAACGTAATTCTTGGTTGCAAATTACTGAGTTTCAAATGAAGAAATCGCATCAAAAATGTAAATCACTGCACTTGACATGTACGCCTACTCTTATTACAAGGCGGTACATAGAAGACAAAATGGTGTACATGTTATTGTTGTAGATGGCAGGTATTATACACAGCCTTACAATAACATACCTGTGGTATAAATACATTTAGTAATGAAAAACTTAAACAGCTCTACTCTGTGAGTAAAAACTGTGATATTAATACTTCTTTTGTGCTTGGCATTTAATCAAAATTTGACTTATTTCATAAACTTTCCAAGGTGCTTAAGTCATTTTAAATACTCGCTCTCCTAATTCTGCATTGATCTGATTTTCAATCAAAGAGGATAACTTATCAAGTACTATAAAATTCTGCTTTGGATCAAAAGAACCTCTGCTGTTAGTAGTTTTAAACGCACTCAACTGGTTGCAATCCCTTGCATTCTTTACTAATTGATATGCTTGCAGCGTTTTCGCATTTCATTGTAGATCATCTTCTGCCTCCTTTTGATGTGCAATCTTTTATCTTTCTTTCTAACGTGAATTTCCATAAGGCTTTTTTGCTGTAGATTTTTGCTACACTTCAATTTCCTTAAATGTTTGAATTGCAAAATTGTTTCCAAATCCAAAGTCTGGCCACTCCTAATCACATATTTATGAGTCTTATAAGCTTTAACTCTCCTTTTTGAAATAAAGTATACTCTAAATAATATGGAAAACTATAATTCACACCTTACCTCGTCAGAACATGGTAATTAAAGTATTTATATCGATAAAAACGTTATTCATCTGTTATCTGAAAAGGCCATCTTTTCTATTATGTGCATCTTACAGTAATTTGCAATGACCGAAAGTAAAATTAATATCCAAGTGTGGATCGAAAGTAACTCGAAAGGAAGAATGTATTTTGAGATGTTTGATTATATGCTATGTATCTGCTATTTTGTGCCGTCTTCAAGTAGAACTTTGTAGTAAAATTCCAAGTATGGCTCAGTGGTTAGGGTCACGGACTTCAAATCTTAGTGTCAGGGGTTCGAGTCCCTATAATGACTAAACTTCTGTCAGAGTGAGAAGTTTCTCCAGCTCGCTTTAATTCAAGGCACGGGAATCACAAGGTGTTGTCACAGAATGGAACAGGGCTCGATAATCATAACTTACAAGTTTCATAAAGCTACCTTCAAAAGTTAGGTAGCAACAAAAACAGAGTTTATCGAGGAATAGCCCGATGCATTGTCCGAGGTATTGTCCGAGGTATTGTCCGAGACATTGTCCCAGGCATTTTCCGAAACAATGTTTGAGTAAAAATTAGTAGAATATGTTGAACTTGTCTCCGTAAGGGATTCTGCCCAGTTGAAATGTTCTTAGAATAGAATTCCGTTATTTTTTGTTTGCTTTTGCAGTTTCGTTGTGCATTAATTTTAAATTTGTCCCATAATAATTCATGATTCAGGAATTTTTCAAATACATTTTTGTTATCTCTTTTTTTCGTCAATAAGGAAGCACAAATTGACAATGAAAATAAAGCAGAAGGCAAAATTATTTTATTCTAAGAAAATATGCAAATAAACCATTTTATTATTACAATCTCTTTTGCTCCATCTTGACATGTACTAGTTTTAAACCAATTTTTGCCAGCCTGGTGAATTCTAGCAAAAACCTCGTTGCATTTCGAGCTTCAAAATGTATTCGTAAGACGTGTATAAGTCTTTGCTTTTGTAGCTTCAAAGTAGATTGCGTCCAAGCAGTTATATAAAACTGTTGTAATACAATTATTTCCCGTTGTCGGAAATGAATTTAACCTTCTTTATACCATCTTATTATATAAATAATGACAGATATTTAGCATAACAATTTAGCCTCTGGAAATAATGTTTTTTTAAATGAGGCAATATTGCAATGTTTAGGTCTTTACACTCAGAGATAATTTCTTCACAACCCGCGGCCAAACAGCGGCCAAGTTTCGTAATAAGAATGTTAATTTTCGTTATCTGCTATAAGAATACAAATTGCTATGATATAACAGATTATTTCGCTAATGTTTGTTTAAGCTATTTAAGGTGCGGTGCAGGCTCCAAATTTTCTTTGACATTCAATCTGTATTTTATTTTTAAGCATGTAAAATTTTCTTTCACAATAATGATTTTCTGGGTGTGAAAACCAACCACAGAATTAAACACTTCCAGAATTCATCCCCAGAATCGCTTCGATATACTAAATATTTACATGGTTGCAATAAATCTTGTATTTTTCCTTTTTTTTCTGGAAAACAACTGTAAATTATATAGCGATTTGTTAACGAAGTGCTTTTTAAGAAGGAAAATTAGATTCTCGTTGTGATTATTGTTTGAAGCTATGATCTATTTACAGTTTATCCAAACTTACACTCAGTTGTTTCCAAATAAAAACAGCCTTAGGCCATTATGCGGTGCAATTTTTTAATATTTATTACGATAGTCAGTCTCCTGCAGTTGAAACTATACATTATCGTGAAGGTTTCGTTATCACGATTAGCCAATGTTAGTTTCATAATCTGTAATATTTTTCATTTTAGCCACAAAATGCATCTGGCAGTGGAGTCTCACCAACATCCCAGAATGGAAACAACCACAGCGAGTGAGTTTATTGATTCTGTCGACAGTTGTGTTTAAAGATACCGTCGCAATATCTCTTACAAATTACTTATTGCAGCAAACAGTTTGCCTGATTCGCGGATTAGTTGCCTGGCTCTAAACAAGATAACGAATTTGGAAAATTACGGGAGGTGCTTCGAGTTCTATGCAAATACGTGAGAGATATGCAGTTGCTAATTGGTCGAAAAACAAAAAAACAATTCGCCATTTTCGCTCTCACTTCTCATTCGATCCGAACCTAGAAATCAATATTCGCTAACCTTCTGGACACGATGTTTATACCCTGAGATGTCAGATGAAAAAAAAGAACTGTGTTTATGCTTTTCCCGCCATTTTGAATTTTTGAAAGTCGCGCCGAGTTAAATCTTGAGCTTGAGTAACATGCACTCATAGATTTATTTACCCGTGATTCACTGGCGTCACGTGCGCGAAGACCCTTGCCAAATTAGTCTTCTTGTATTTTAACAGCACTATCTCTTGTTTCTTTTGTGAAGTAATGGACAAGGTGGAACTTTCTGGCTACGAATCTCTGCAAGTGGTCCATTTGGCATTGTAGGAGATGTGATTATTTCCAAGGAGTGGACTCGACAGCTTTGCAATATCTATTAGAGAAAGCACGCTATTTATTTGAGTGCAGCAAAGTCCAAATTAGTGTTGCTTTCAAATTTTCGTGTGCTGTTTACTTGATTAAAATTTTTTAATCATAAACAAGCTATATTATGCTGTCTTCAGACTTGCCATAAGTCTATTATATATACACAGGAAAATATTCGCACTGTCAGAATTCGACTTGAGGACAGGAAAGGATACTGCGGAGGAAATCCGCAGAAAGTTACTCACTTTGCAGTGCATATATTTTCGCGTATAGATTTAACATAGAAATTGACATTGGACAAGTCTATGCTTTCTTTCTCTCCACATTAATTTCATTAACAGAACTATTATCTTTTTGTCAGAAAAATGCGGCTTCTGTTTTACTGAGAACATTTAATGATAATAATTCGAATACATAAATGTTGCTCACACTTCGAACATCTAAATTAAGATAGATTGGTGTAAAGTTGTGTTTGGCTATGAAATGTGGATCTAGAGTGTCTATTTATGTATCCTATTTGCAGAACTATATACCTAAAAGAGTCCGATTCTCTCAAAGTGCTAAAATTGCCCAAATTGATATGGCTTGAAAGCCCAAACCTTGTGCAGGTTATTTTAAAAGGTCAGCAAGTACTTTCTTGCGAATTGCTGCTTCTATTCAATAACAAATTGCTGCTTCTATCCAATTCTCTTTGTTTCAAACCTAGTTAGAATCTCCTATCCAGTAACTAAGTCTTTTTGCTAGGGGCAGTTCAAGCACAAATGGGAGCCCTGACAAGAAGCCGATAAAATGGCCTTTGACGCCAGGGGGTAAGTATTCCTATTTGCTTTGAAATCCAATCTTATTCACTCTTAAGGCATTCGTCCCAACTTATCCCACCTTTTTTCAAAGGATCGTTATTCTAGAGATGTTATTTGAAACGTGTACATATTTCGTTTATACCGAGTAGAAATATCTGATGCATATACCCACAATTTAATTAAAAAACTTGATCCTCGTTGCTTTTTCATCCCTGCAATGTTTTCAATATAACTTTTTCCCACAGCTTGTCTCAAAATGTATGTCGACAAACTCACGACGTTTGAGCAAGCAGAGATCTTGGATTTCCCAGAAGTCTGGTTTCTTGGTCTGAACGGAAAGAAAATTGAAGGAGTTCCAGGTGCTCCCACAAATAATGGTAAGTGTCAAACGTGTGAAATCTTGCTATCATTCTAGTAATGAGATGAGTGTTCTCTTTAAACACGAGGAGTGCGGGGTTTTTTCTGCCCTTGACTTTTTCTAACTGCCTGCTAAAATTAATGTAGCATTACTTTGTGTTAGATGCCTCGTTATCATATTATCATGAAAAAGAGGCTACTAGGCAAAGAGTTGTTTAGTCTCTTTCTTATATAAACTTTTATATGTTGGGTATAAAAGTTTCGCAAATCGCCCTTGAATTTGAGGATCTCTACCAATTGACATGAATCCTAATGATTCCATTTTTTTTGATTCCAAGGCCGTCATCTGAGAATACTTGCCTGCTGAAAACCAGTCTTTTTCGTATAACTATTGTATAATCCTAGTCAAAAATTGGAGCCTGTTGTTAGGAATATTTCAATGTAGTAGACAGAATAGAAATTAAAAGCATAAAAGAAAATGCCGTTTTCGAAGTAGATTCTCTTTTAAGCTATTTATCTATTTTTAATCAGTTTGACTGCAATCATACATCAATTATTCACTTTGTTTGGCAAACCGGTAAAATTATTTCAGTTACAAAATTCTGCGTCATACAAAAGATTGATTTTGGGCGCGACATTTCTAATTTGTCTTCGCCAATAGCTTTTGTGTTCTGATAACGACAACTGGGTGGCTTCCTCATAAGTAGAACTTAATCGAATCTTCTTATTTTTAATCGAGTATTCTGGAAGCTGTTGTTGTAGTTAATCGAGCATTTGTACAACATCGTTACAACCACTTTTTTGGTCGATGAAATTTCCGACTGCATCTGCTTCTGTCTCAGTGCATTTTAAGCATCTGTTCACTCTTTCGCAATGCAATTTTAAATATGACGCACACGATTGACCAGCCCTTTCATTAGGCACATGGCTTGAATAAGTTGCGAGTTTTAATTCTAAAGGATCCTTAGTTGACACCTGGCTATCTTTGCACATGTATTGTGAATTATCTGCCAAGGAAACACAGTATTATTAAAAGAACGTAATAGGAATGCCTCCGACTGTCTAAACTCAATATGCGTGTCAACTATAAGCACAAAATGCCAATTAAGAGTACAGCGTATACGTCGAGATCCACACTTCTTCTTGTCTACATTCCGCTATCATCTCCAATTTAGCTAGTCATTGATTCAAAACGGTTAGTTTTATTTTCAAATAGATGTACAAGCCGAAATGGCCATTGATCTGATTGTAACATTAACGTTAAAGCCAAAGCATACAGCTTAATCCCAAATAATCTAAAGCACACACTTTAATCGCAATTACTCGTTAAATTATTATATACACTAACACCAAACATAAATTAAACATAAAAAATTTACAAATTTTTAAATACGTGATGTCAAAAAGAACAGGATTATGAGAAATTCTATACACAAACGATAATTCTAATAATTTTAATGCGAATTTTCACGTTTACTTAATGGAAGATAAATCGTTCTAGAAAGGAGCTTTGTTGCGTCAACAGCATCTTGAATCATCAACCAAATAACCAAAAGAAATGGTTTTTTTCTATTCAATTCTCTTAATTGATTCGCCTTTTTTTTCCTAGGATACGATGATGAAAATGGCAGCTACATACGCGTTTATAACGACCATATAGCGTATAGATATGAAGTGGTTGATTTGCTGGGAAAGGGATCTTTTGGCCAAGTTGTGAAGGCTTATGATCACAAGAACAAAGAATATGTGGCTTTGAAGATTATACGAAATAAAAAGAGGTAAAGGATAGCTTTTATTGATAAAAAAACTGATAGTCAATTTTATGAAAGTTTGATCTTTTTAATAGAATTATTCTTAAGGCTTAGGCTGTATAATTCTTTAATCATAAATATTCCTTCCTTTAATGCAGCTCTTAATGATATAGAATTGCATTAAAATATTACACTTTATTTCTTAATTAAATTCTCGAAAAAGCCGCCATTGTGTAGACAGAAGGAGTTCGTTTTCTCTCTTGGACTCCAATGGTAATTTTCTTTAGGCACGCAGCACTGATTGGACATTTATAAGGGTCTTGTGTTTGCGTTTTTTTGTTTGGCCTATTTCGATCCACAACTGGGTATATATTTTTCATCGTGTTCTTTCGGAACCTTATTCTGACGTTTTTGCTCTGATGAGTGTCAGACGAAAATGCTTTTAGCTAATGTGTGATAAAACGTTTGCTTTTTTTAAAGCCATTTTTGTTCTTTTTTCCTTCAGGTTTCACCACCAAGCTCTAGTAGAGGTCAAAATACTTGATACTATTCGAAAAAAGGTGACATTATTTCAATAACCCGTCAATTATATACCTCGCATCACCATGTGTAATCGCTAGAACGTAGATTATTGTCTTGTCATCAGGTTTATTTGGCCTTATACCCTTTTAGTGCTACATTTTAGTCATACATCTTGGATTTTATGTTTTATATCGTAGCTTGCCCTGTTATGCTTTACATGTTTTATTCGAAATTCTGACAATGACAATGCATATTATATTATTTTGGCCTGACACCTTATCTTTTCAAAAAACTTGATCAATGATACAAATTTCATATTTCAACATATGTATTTAGCTTATTTTTTTTCCTCTGTTTCTGCCTAGGATAAAGATAACTCTTCCAATGCGATTCATATGAAAGAGTATTTCTACTTTCGGTAGGTTATGTCTTCTTTCTGAAGAGAAAGGTGTCTCTTCAGAAATATTGTCTCATTCAATACCTTTATGACTAATTTATTGTTTCACACTGTCATCTGCCAATTTTGTAAAGTAAGAGAAAGGTAGGCTGTGTCAAAGAAAAGCTTTAGTAATAGGCTATTGATCTACAAATAAGATAGACTTCTACAAACGCTTGAGATAATCGAATGATATTAAAAGGAAAGCCAAATGTCTTGAACCACACTTTGATGGCATTTTCTACCAACTCTGCCTGTACGAGGTGAAATTGATTTGAGAGTGGCAACATCAATCCTGTCTCCTGTCCTGTCTCCCTCGCCTCTTCTATTGAAGCATTTCATTTTCTTTTTGAAAAGGCATTCTTTGTTAATTTATTTGATTACATATTTAGTTTGCTTTTCTGAAAATTACCATTTCACGTGTTCTAATATGAACTTTTCATTCTAAACCAAGTTCGTTTTTCAACGAGACATTCCAACAGACTGTATTTCATCCTGAGAGTGATGCCGTTTTCTTTTTGATAATATGACTTGCTTCTTTCCCTTCATCTGTTTTCTTATTTGTGCCTTTTTTGTTTCAGCAACCATTTGTGTATATCTTTTGAACTTCTTGGGTAAGACCATCAGTTGATGATAAACATTTAATTGATTCCTCGATGTAACATTCAAACTTTTTCTTTCGTTTTTGTCGTTGTTTAATCGTGCATTCGATTTAAAGAATTATATTTTGTATTGCACATAAAAATGAAAAATAAGAATTGCTAACTATTTATGCAAATATTTCAGAAAAACCCGTCAAGTATTCTTTTAATGTTTCCAAGAGAAAATTTTAATGTCTCTCAAAGCACTTTTAGACGATTTTATTGCTTAGGCTCTACATTTTATTTTAATTTTTTACCAACTTTGACGATATTTTTCTTGAAATGTTTTTGACGTTCTATCGTCTTGTCTTCTTTGTCATTATTATTACCATCTTACGGTATGATGATTTCAGTTGGTAAAGTTTTGAAAACGATAATTAAGTTCAATTCTCCCTTTGTAAGCATGTTTAATAGCGTGGTTGAGCAATCAATATTTCATCTGTTTTTTTCTTTTTGATAGAATGAACCTTTACGAGTTGATAAAGAAGAATAATTTCCAAGGGTTTAGTCTGACTCTCATCAAAAAGTAAGATCCAAATATCTTATTTCAAACTTATATTGGATTCAATATTCTTCTTTTTGAGTATTAAGGGAAAATTTAGATCATATTGACAAAATCATTGCTGCCCTGTCAGCGCGTATTTCAATTTTTTTAGGATAATTTAGCCTTTTTTAACAAGCTGTTGCTGCGTTGTCCGATATGGGGGGTTGCAAACAGTTTCGGGACTCAGGAGCTTGGCTTGGTTTCCTGACAAATTTTCAGATTTTGCAGAAAAATTTGTAAAAGTAATTGTTGATAATGATAAATAATATCTTGAGGATAGATCATCGCAAGGAGTAAATTATCATTTAAACTGTCGATTTGCTGTTGTTGAAAATCTAATTATCTTGTGCAATATTTTTATCTTGTTGATAATGTAATAGGTATCAAAAAAGAAAAACGTTTTTGCAGTCATGTTGATAGGCTCCTTGTACATAGTTTCGCGATACTCTCTTATCGTGAACAACATACAAAATGAAAACTTTTTTCATTTTATGAACTGCTAAACTATAATTACTTTTATCGATTTTAGATTCGTTACCTCAATACTGCAGTGTTTACGTGTCATAACAAAGTGTAGAATTATTCACTGTGATCTCAAACCGGTAAGCGTGCCAACAAGCCTTAATTTCTATTTACTGGTGTTGCCCTACCGCAGACACGTTGTAAAGCCTCGCTGCATTATTCATTCGCCGGTAAAATTGAATTATGTAGCCATAAACTGAATTTTATGATCAATTCTTTTAAAAAATTTATCAATTATTCATCTGAAGTATATGTTCCAATAAGCAATCTAATTTTGGTTAACGATAAGATTTTGCGAAAAAGCCACTGATATATCGCATCTCTGGGAATGAATGGGAGTGTAGTCAAGATTTCGGAAGGTCAAACAGATACTGACGGTATTCGAACGCGTAATCTATAAATGCTGTTACAAAGTCTTATTGGAAATATCATTCCGGTCGCATAATTTATCCTTGAGATCAAGTATGAATTTTTAATGACGTAATGCATTAAATTGGTTAGGGAAATTCGCTGATACAAAATAATTTTGGGTTCGTTATTTGCCTATTATGATGGAAATTGCTTGTAATAGGACTATGTTCAGTCAATAATTTATACCTTGCTTCTAAAAAGCGGCGTGGAAAGGAACTCGTCACCCTACCACACAATGCCGTGGCTCAACACGATGCGCCCCTAACAGCGCATTCCCTAACGCTCGATTTCGAATAAGGGACTAACCTGTACCTTTCTCTCTCACTGATTTATAGTTAGACTATAACTAGTTAGACTATTGATTCTGAACTAAAGTGTGTTTCTGTTCATGCTAACTCGTAGTCTGCTACCCTGTCACTAATGTTATCTTGTCCCTAGGGTACAAATAAAACTATTTATTGGGCTGCCATATTGCAATTCAAACACAAGTGGGGCATTCAAATTTCCTATATTTTTACAGGAAAACATTTTGTTACAAAAAAGAGGATCAACGGCTATTAAAGTTATAGATTTTGGATCTAGTTGTTTTGAGCATCAACGAGGTATGGATATTTTCTTTTTAATGCTTTCAAAACCGATGCTGTATATTTTTTCTGGAGGCAGAAATTGGTTACATAGAAAAAGTGAATCTAATCTTTATTTAACTTCTTTTGCTAGGTTTTTTATCATTTCTTAAACTTATTATTTCTTACCATTTCTTAAGTTTTTCCACGCCTTTTTCGTTCGCTCTTTTTCTCCTAATAATTTCTATTTTATATTTCTTTCGCTATGTTAACTTCTTTTTCCTTTGTTTTAATTCATTTTCCTTGCTTCTTCATTTTCAAAGTAAAGTCGCCAACTGGTCAAAAGCAAGGAACGAATCAAATTATTTAGAAAGTATTTTTTATTCGCGGATATTTATCACCTTGTATCTAAGCTCATTTTGAATTCATCCCTTCAACATCCCTTCTGTTTCCCTTATCCTTCAATTTTGTGATTTTTCCAATTGATCAACTGTTAACATTTTTGTGCTGTGACCTCAATCAATTCTTTTTCTTGCAGTTTACACATATATACAAAGTCGATTTTATCGTTCGCCAGAGATAATTTTAGGTAAGACATTTCCGAGTTTTCCTTCCTGCTAACACTGTTACCATGCCTTACGTGTGTTCTTTTTCAAACATTTTCCCATTGATTTTCAACTGTTGAGTCTTGCGATGGAAAAGTGGTGAGCGTATTTATTCTTCAATTGATTGCTTTTGACATCTTGGTATATTACAGAAATCGGGCCAAGAACACTTAACATTTTAGTCCACTTCCTCTTAATTGTCACTTGGGTAAATCGTGACAAAGAACATTCATCATCCTTTCTTATTCTCTCAAATCCAAACTGTTTCATGAAAGGCAGTGTTCTTGTTTTTTTAATGCAAAATATTATTTATTATTTTTGGTATGCTTGTATTAAATAAATCCATTTTGAGAAGGCTGCCATAGTTATCAGGACAGATTCAACCCCAACAACGATAGTTGACATTAATTCGATTGCTTTTGAATCAAACTCTCGTAAAAGGTGGCTTTTCATCACAGCCTTTGTGCTAAATTCGTTAAATTCTAGGCCACATTGTGCTTCACTAAAAAGCTTGCCTTTATCTAGTGGTGTTAAATGTTGGCTCTGTTCTTTCCACAGGAGTCTCATACACGGCTGCAATCGATATGTGGAGCCTCGGTTGCATCCTTTCCGAACTGCATACAGGATATCCGTTATTCCCAGGCGAAAACGAGGTCGAGCAACTGGCTTGTATTATGGAGGTACATATCTCATATCTACTAGTGAAAATTACTGTTTACCGGTCTGTCATAAAGTGCTCGATGCCGTGTACACGTAGAGTTGCCTGATAATCGCATTAAGCGTGAAACTCGAAGTAGCAATTGAGAGCCGTCTTGTTCTATACACCAAATAGCGTCTCATATCTATTATGTTTACTTGCATTTGCAGATGCAAATTGTTATTTACGTCTTGTCGGCTTTTCCAACTAAAAGAATATTGCATCGCTAGTTTTGTAAAATGATGATTTTATAACAGATAAACAAATACAGACATTAAGCACCAAAAGTGGTACCGTTTGAAGTGTCTTGAACTATTTTGACTAAACAATTGATAAATTTGAAACTTAACTTTAAATAGTCCAAGGACTACTCGTAAAATTTATATCAGGTTAGGAGGAAGATGCTTTTGCGCACTTCCGATACAATATCTCCAACTTCCCTTGTCATTACCTTAAGCCAATAATCGTTGCTTGTATTATTGTAGCCGCCCAATATAAATGTTTCAATCTTCTTTTTTGCAGATATTTGGTCTTCCGCCTTCGAGTCTGATAGAGAACGCACAGCGAAGAAGGCTGTTTTTCGGTATGCAGATCAATAAATCAATCCTTTGATTTATGCTTATCCTGTGATTTATCTTAATTTTTACTCAGCACTTTAAAAAATTTTTGCTTCAGGCTGCGTGATGCTTAAATTTAAGAATCTTGAACATGAGAGGTCTTATAAAAGAAGTAATTCGAGTGTTGCTTATCATGTATTTTATATGTTTCGTCATACTTCGTTTTTTTTAAGATTCCAAAGGCCAACCAAGAAGTATAACAAATTCAAAAGGAAAGAAACGACTGCCTGGCAGCAAAGAGCTCAGCTCTGCTGTGAAATCAAACGATTCCCAGTTTCTTGACTTTATCAGAAGATGTCTGGAGTAAGTTTTCCTTTTTCGTATTTTAGATTTTTTGTCAAAGTATATTAAAGAAACATCGAACTGGGCAACGGTCGTTTTTGAAATCAATGTGTTGGGAGCCACCTTACGAATCATATTTTCCCATCAAAATTACATGACATATCCAACTGCACACTCTGCGTTGATCACGTCTTTAAGCTTTCTGTCAAGACAACGTTTCTGAAAACGTGTTTGACCAGCTGCAGACAATAGTGGGATTTTCGTTGAGAAGGCATTCTTCGTTGGTAAATAGTTGGCCTTAATGAGCTTTTATTTTTAGCTATTTCGAGCAGCCAACTTTGAATCAAAGTATTCATGATAATAATAATAATAATCGTGGAAGATTTATTCGGAGTCCAGATCCTCAACCTCTGTCTCACTCACTTTCAGATGGGATCCTACTTCGCGCATGACACCGGATGAAGCTCTACAGCATCCTTGGATCACAGAGGTACCTTCTAACATCATATATTCTATTTTTTCTTCTCATCCGTTCATTGTTCGGTTTTCTTTGCTTTTCGTACAATCGTTGCTGGTGAGGGGTGTACAATTCGTGGAATGTGTTCGACATATTTGAAAGCTTTTCCAAAAAAACAATGAATTTATAACATGCTCTGGCAGTTTAATTAAATATTTTCTTTCGATAACCTTCTTCTTGCTTTTTGGCCAAGTGACCTTACCATAAGTAGATATTTCGCCATTTTATTTCTGCGTACTGTGCACATATATGAATATACTACCATTTTCGAACTGCAAGTGAATTTTTTATTCATTTATGATCTTAAATCAACGATTACTTTATAATAAAATATATCCATGGATGGTCACTCTAAGCCCATCTAACAACAGTTTAATGGTACATCACCCGTTTGTTTTTTATGTTTGTGCAGACCCATTCTTAACTGCAATACACTTAAGTTCTCAGCGTTGTTCATACATTTTGCAATCACTTATTTTAGATCAAAAAACGATTTATTTTATCAAGGTTTCCTCAAACTTGATATAATTTTTTTTATTTTGTTACTATTTTGCCAACAGAGTCATCAGAAAAGTCGCTCAGTAGCGAAAGGCAGCCACCGCAAATCGGTTTCAAGGGCAAGCGACGGAGGTGCCTCGTTCTCACGAAGCACGCGTCTACATCACATAGACCACGTAAAGTCAACGACTGTTTCGTTAAAGAGCTCGTCAAGAGTGACTGACAGACTGCACCCATTACTAGCCAATGAGACGCGCATCACACAGGACAATTACAGTTGTAGTCCAGGCGTTGTTGAAAGTGACGTAACAAGGAAACTTGCAACACGTACGGCAGCGCTAACCATTCAAGGAGATCTCCATGATAACACGAATAAAGTCGATCAAAAGAAACAGAATAGCGAAAGTAACGAACAGTTCTTGCCACCGATAAAGTGATTAAAGATAAAGGTGTAATTTAAGTGGTGATTTTAAATAGTTTAGATGACGTGAATTTCATATTTTAAAAATGAAAGAGTCCTTGTGAGTTAACAGCCTCAATTTGAGAATTTTATTGCCTCGATTGTGGGGAGACAGTTGTAGGGATTCATCTGCAAACCCTTTTCAATTTGCCCAAAATTAAAAACTGTCTTGTTATTTATGAAGTGTACTAAAAGGGGATTTGGATTTTAACTGGACGCAAGGTAATAAATGTGGTTTACTCAGCATAAAAAATGCAAGAAACAGGAATAAAGTTTAAAAACCGGGAAAAACTTACATGCACCTTTTCCAGCTCCAACACCATACATATCACGAATGTCCCAGGTACTTTTTGAACTATCTATTAGTTGACTTAAAATTAGCTGGAGAGAGTGAATGCCTTTTTTCTTGAAAAGGATCAAATAGTTCTTATTCACTTTAGGTCACCTTGTTGAGCATTTTAAGCTGAGTCTCTAATAATTATTTAAAACCTTATTTACTTATCATAGATTGTCTCATTTTTAGTCCTTAACTGTTTGGATCCTCCAATGTCAAATTCATAAAATTTATGACATTCACAATAACCTTAACGAAGCTTGCTGGATTGTTCACAAGCAGAATCCACTTAAAAAGCCTACAGGAAAGATTTTCTATAGTTTGTAAGACCAAACCTAAAATTTTACGCGGTCAAATTAACTTATAACTGAAAAACAAAGTGTAATTTAAGGAGCAATATAATTGAGAACGCTCGATGCAATCATTCTGGACCTGCTCAATCTCCCTTCCTCTTTGCTTACGCCAATAGTAATGCCGAAGCATATATGCAGTTTCTAGTCAATTACCAATATATCTGCTTGTAATTCATTCTCATTTTCATTTTAGATAATAGAATCCTCACATTATGCAGTATTTATAAATTAAACTTGGTGTCGTAGTGTTTTTAGTCCCATCAGGGTCATGTAAATTATATATTGACGTGTATGTATGTTGATTGCGGTTAAAGGTGGAGAGAAAATAGATTTCCTGTAAGGTAGTAGTTAAGCGTGTTGAAAACACGCAACTTCGTGTTGGTAAATACGCAAGTGTTGAAGAACACGCAAGTGAGTGAGGTCAGTTGACAAAGCAAGGTGAGGGAAGGTTAGCAATTTGAAACTGCGTTCTTCCTTCATCTTTCTTCAAGTGACCTCACATGTTTTAGGTGTTGGTCAACAAGGATCATAAATTAAAATCGCTTTTATTTTTCTCAAAGTATTGAATCAGAGTCATTTTTCTGCCATATGAAATTACCAAGCTTCTTGTCTCTCTCTGGCAAAAAAACCCGTTATACTTTCTAAGTATTTCCACGTCAAAGCAGAGCCTTGTTTTAAATTTGTAATGCTTTGAATTTTGGTAAATTGCTAAAGATTGTTAGATTATTATTGTTAAGATTAGCAAAGCAGATATATCGATTTTAGAGGCTACAAAATGTTAATACGTGTACAATTAACACAAAATTTTAGTCAGATGTGTGTAAATATTTACGAAATTCTTTTTATTTGTAACGCTGTAAGTTAATTGGAGTTTGTCCGAATTTTTATGTTGTCGCCCTGTCTTCTATGATGTTTTTATTAATGACGTCGCAATCGATATTTTCACTCGGGATGTTCTTGCGGGAAGCAGTAACTAACAGATCTCTCGCTATACAGAGCTGTCATTTCCCTTCGTACCGATTGTTATTAGCATTGTTGTACACCAGAAACCATTTAAACGCTCTATCAAGTAAGTCTTCAACCGCCAATAAATCCAGGTGACGATATTGGTCCGCCGCCACGTTCAAAAAGGGGCATCATGATGTTTGTGGCACAGACGTACATCAAGCAAGGTATGCCGTGTTCTTCCCCTCGCTTAGCAGTTAGAATCTTTCGTGCATCCATAGCCTCTGAAATCGAAGTCACATTATGGTTCTTCCTTATAACAATTTCATGATTCCTAGAAAAGCGTTTACTACCATAGGTTTTGACTCAGTTTGCACACTCAAATTCGACGCCCTAGAGTTCTTTTTTATCAAACGGCAGAGACCTCTCATTGATGTCCAATTGCCCCTAGATACGCTCATTTTTTTATAAGAAACAGAGGTCGATGTTAAGTACTCCAGTTTCCTAATTTTCTGGAAAGTTCAATACTCATTGTTTCTTAAGAGTTTCTTAATTATAGTGTCATGAATGATGTTTTGAAATGTTCGTGACCTTTTTATCACGTCAAGGGATTCGCTGCCGTTCTGATGCTGTATTTGAAGTACATTTTCATCCTTTGTGTCTTAAGTTCTAGGCCAACGGGGCAATCATGTTCTTTGATTTTACAAAATTTCGTTGTTCTCAGTTTTATCACGATTTAATAGTTTCCTAAATTTTTTGCTTCGAGTACTGGAGTTTCTTAAATTTTTTTTGGCTGTCCAGTACTCGTTTCTTATAGCCAGTTTCTTATAAAAAATGAGTGTAGCTAATAAATAATCAACAAAACATCGATGGAAAATTACCTTCATGTTTTCTCTCGTTTGTTCAAGTGAATCTCTTTTCTTCAACTAACGGTTCATGTTAGTGCGGCACAAAGACCTTGTTGCAGTCAGCTCTGGCTGTTGGCATTTCTGATCAGTTTCTGTGTGTTTATTCTACAATGTGTTTTTTCTGTATCGAAAGAATGGATTCGTTAAAATGATAGTTTGTCCCCGAAAAGATGCCACCAGTAAAACTTAGCTAACAACGAAAGAGACGTGTCTTTTGGTGATCTTTTTAACGTCACTTAACAACACTTGTTCACTGGAAAATTTCTGTCTCTAAAGTGTTTTCTTTCTAAAAGTTTTTTACTTTACCTGCCACCAGGGCTTTAGAAAATAGAACCAATATTTACACGTGGCATGCTGGAATGTGTTTATGTAACAAAAGTAGGTACCTGAAGAAATTGAACACACAATATCAGTGTTACGGAAATAATTATAATAGAACAGCATAATTACATGATTGATGTTATGTGGCGAAAATTTTCGTTGACAACATTCAAGAGCAATTATGCGTTTACAATTCAATGTTTCTATCTTATTTGAAAAACTTTAAGACACTCATAAGGACTGAAAGCGAACAGAAGAAATAACTTTGAATGTTATAATACGTTCGAGCGAAAAATTCCACAGGGGTTTTTAACCGAGGGCAAGAACAGGTAAAATAAACCCGTCTGATATACATATTGACCACCCTGTACTGAATTCTACTTCAAATAATATAATACAAATTATAGGTTTGTATCTATAATATATACAAAATGAATCCATTTAACAAATACAAGTCACTGTATGAAAGTAACAAAAAATAATATTATGTAAGAAAAAATATATAATACTTTTATCTTTTATTCAACTGTATTATTACAGAACAGATAAGCTCATTGTACTTTTTATTAGTATGAAAGCAACATTAACACAAGAATGCAGTATACTAAACCCCCAAAAGGTACTTTCAAATCTGAGCTCTCGAACGACCATCTGTAGTCTAAGCGAACAAAAAGAAAATAAGCCCCGAAATATTTTACCTTTTCCAATACAAAACATTGCTAGAAATTTTGGGAGGGAATTATTAAATCAGGCAAGTGTGTTATACTAAAGCTTTATCAAAGAGGTTGCTTACTTTCAGAAATTTAATTTGCATAATCCATTCTTTATATCAAACTTTGCTCTGAAAACTGAAATAATGTTTCATATGTTCGGGCATCTCCTAATAACGCAAGATATTTCTTTCTGACAAATATAAATATATTGTACACAATGGCTCTCTTCCGATCTCTTAACTCTAGATGAGCAAATAAAATTTATAATTCCAGTTAAAACAGCAAGCGTACAGCGTTGATAGTCCAATGTTATGCAAAAAGGGAACTTTGAATTCTAAAATGATCCTCAATACAGAATATACCACTTTCAGGTACACTACTGCCAGACATCAATGGATCGCAGAGATCTCACTTGTAAGTACGTTTATGAAAGAAGTTTCTAAAAAATAAGCTGCAACATAAGAAGGTTGTGTTAAACTAGCTGCTCGATAAATCTATTTAAAAAATTAGTTAAAGAATCAGATGATGGCTTGCTAATGGGAAACTAGCCACAAGGTATCTATGAAGATATGGAAGGTGTATGTGCTCCAACATCGGAAGCGATAGATTTGTTGGAACCATTCTTCCCGCGGCATCAGCCCTTGCATTCCTCGATCAATCTCAATTCGACCTTCAACTGGACACATTTGTCGTTTTCTTCCACCAAAGCCTTTACCAAGTCGACAGTTTGATTCTAAAAAACAGTCATAAAAATTGTATGAATACAAAGGGAAATCAAACTTCAACACACAGGAAAAGAGCATAATTGCACTGAAACAAGTCCAGTCCAGTCTTCAAAGAGAGCAAATGTAAAGAAATTGGCAAACTGGACGAGCATCCTTTGCTGCTCTTGGTGTGTACAACACTATGAGTTTCTCTAGCACTTGAACAGGGAACATTCCCTTGTCAAAACATCACGCCACAAGGCTATAACTGTGTTTTGCAAAGCTTCTTACTAAATATTCATGCATGGGGAAATGGTAAGAAAAAATCGTTTCTGTTGGGGGAGATATCCACTTACCTCTAGCTTTTCATTTTCTTTCTGTAGCTCTTTTAGAATGTTTTCCAGCTCAGAATTGTCTGAATCCGAATCCTTGCAAATCATTAAGGAAATAATGTGAGAACATTGCACAACATTAATACATCTCCATTGAAGAAATGATAGACAGGCAGTTGTGGCTTGGCCGGAATACGACAAAGGAGTCCTTGTCGCAAAAAATAGAAGGCAAAATTCCTCTAAAGCATCTTGCTGCTTTTTAGCAGGATTTTTGCTGATGAAAAATATAAAAGACATACCTCAAACAAATTACTCAATGCTGTGTGTGTTTTAATATGCTATTAATAAAAACTTAACTTAACCACGATGCCTGTCAAAAAGTCTTTGTACACTACACTAAATTTTTACCTGAAACAGTAATTTTTTTCAAAACATTAATTAAGCACTTGGGCGTCCGAAGGACTTTTGGCAGGAACTGTAGCTGAAAATTAGCTATATTGGTTTTAGCCTCCTGTAAATTAATAAATTAAGATGATGCTGATGATACAACAAGACGTAATCAAGCACTAAAATAACAATTCCACTGGTAGCACGATTACTACGATGATAGACTTAAGTGGATGTTTCCATCCACTCCTATGCGATAAGGATACGGTTCCACTCTCAGAATCTGAATCATCTCCGCTTGAATCGTCATCACTCGATGAGACCGGAGATGCCCGGTCCTCTTTTCTTTTGAATTCATCAACCTCCATCTAAAATAAACAAAACCGGCAATAGACAAATAATTTCAAAACAACATCACAATGATATAGCGAATATTTATTTCACACATCCGTATATTCAATAAATAATGAATTACGAAAATCCACGAAAGGCTAGTTTAATGTGGTAAGCAGAAAGAAAATCCTACTTCCTTTAACTACTTTGATACAATAAATAATCAAACATAAAAGCAAGAAATATCAACGGAGACAAAATGGAAGCTTGAGGTACAATCGCATACAACGAAGCAAAGAAGCATACAAAATATTTCATTAACATTCTGTCTCATCTTTTACTAATCTTCGAGTACCAGCTGTTAGCTGAAAAAATCTCTGCTTAAATTGTACTAAATAATTCCAATGCTGTCTTTGTTGTAAAAAATGTTAGACAGTTGACTGCGGCTAGGCCATTGATTGACTCTTAGTCCAAATAAGCTGCTTCTGATCAAATTTCTTAGATCTTGTTTAAAGTTCTGTCAAAAATTTGAAAAGTAGCTTCAGTCAGGATTAAAATCAATTAAAGACATAAAGTATTCAAGATCCGTACCCTTAGTCGATCAACATCGTTTAATTCCCGCTGTATCCGGTCCTTCAGTCTTGCTGACAACGCTAAAAGTTCCTGTTATGAAGAAAACGATAACAAAATTTGATCTCTTCAAACAAGCATGTTCGTTAATGCTAGCCTGAGCAGTGAAGAAGCTATAAATAAGTTAGTAAAGAAGATAACCTGTTAAAAGGGTAGTGGATAAGACATGGCCAAAAAGAGAACACAATAGGGGAAGGGATCAAAACAAAGTTGAAACTTCCACAAACAATATTTCACTTTACAAGAGTCGTTACACACATCATATTTTCAAAAGAGCTTGCAACTGTAAAAAATTATTTTGCGTTCTCCTGTTTTCGTTGGTAGACATTTGGTGACCAAAGCTTTCACTTATCCCACTGCTTGCTCATTTCGTCATGTGCCGTTTTAGTTTTTCAGCTTCAGCGATAAATCTGAGGTAAAATCTCTGTAGAAATCAACCTCATGTAATTTTTCTACTGATAGCATTTAACAGCAGCGCAACAATAGAAACGTGTTGTTTTTTAGACCAAAACTAAGACCTTGCGAACATCATCTCTTACCTCTTGCTCTATTTTCAATCTTAGTTCTTCCTGCAGCAATTCGGCAATTTCTTCTGCAAAAGAACAAGGTAGGAAAATCCATTAAATTTTCTGCATACAACAATTACACATTTCATGTACAGGAAAGGAAAATTCTAAGTTGCTACTACAAGTTTCACCTTTAATGTGATCACCAAGAAACTGTCAATCAACGATTACATAATTAACAACTCTCTCAGACCATTGCTACTTCATTTCAATGTTTAGCTGACTTAATTTATCACTAACATCATTTCGTTTAATGAAACCTGAAAGATAATTGCAATTATGATAACCAAAACAGTATAAACTTTATGATAATTCACAAAAACACACCATCTTCATCTTCATCCTCGTCATCGTCGAAATCTTCATTAAAAGCAGGCTCTACTGGTGCCGTGACCTCATGTCCATCAACACTACCCTCCTTTTTACCATCCTCCGCTTCTGTTTTCTGTTCCGTTACACTCACAACTTCCTCCTTCGCTGTCTTTACATCCTTGCATTTATCTAAGATTCTGCTATGTTCTTCATTTCTTCTTTGCCTCCTTGAGGACTCAATTTCTTCATCCGGCTGTTTTGCAATCTCAAAGAGCCTTTTCTTCCTTGATTCTTGAGACTGATTTTCATCTGGAATTCTCGCCATTTCCTTTTTGACTGTTTTGGCTTCTGGTTCTGCTTCAATACGGCTGCGCGTTACCAGGACTTCACTTTTCTCTGTTTCTGGCTCTTCCATCTTACTTTCAGGGTGTGTGTTCACAGTCGAAGAATCTTCAGTAGCACTTCGTCCTAACTCGCTCCTTCTAATTGTTTTCAGCTGCAACAACAACAACAGGCTGACTAGCTTAAAAACACTAAATCCAACATTGAAATGTGAAACACGTAATTCACAAATAATTACGTCACTAAAGACTTACAGTCACTGCAGGAAACTTTTATTCGGCCTGTAAATAACATGATTCATTGCAGAACACATGAATATACGGATCATGCTAAATTCAGTATATCTTGCTAAGCATATTAAGCTATACCTTGCTGAACATATTTTGAATTATTATTGCCAAATATATATCATAGATGGCACATTGTTGGTTATCTTTGCCAAACGTGGCCTGTTTCCAGAGAACATAATATAATCATGCTTATTTTGAATTCTACAGTCACGAGAAAAGGTTTACAAAATGCTAAAAAATTATGATTAATGAGGATGGTGACAGTGAGATTCCACCATTAAATTGTATAGAAGAAACTCCAAAAAAACATAAAAGTAGTGCCTACGTTGGCATTGGAAAATGTCAGCTGCAGACTTAACATGTGATCGACCTTGAACTACGAGGCAACGCTGAATTTCCGGAGACATTTAATTAACTTGTAAGGAAATATACAGCAAGACAAACCTAAGACAGCTAAATGCTAGATAATATTCATTGTCACGCACACACATTAAGCAAAGCGACAATCTCTGTGTTTTGTATGGAATAATTAGTTTTAGAATATTTGATTCCAATATTTTAGAAAGAAATTTAAAGCCATTCCCAGGCTCTAATCTTAAAAGCGAAGCATTATGACTTTCAATAAATCCCCTACGCGAAAAAAGACTGCATGGAAAATTAGCTTCAACTCAGGGGTGCTTCAAACACTGAACTCACTCGAGTTAAAAGCCTGGTAAAACTGAATTTAGAATTCTGGTAAAACCACTAGCATGACTGACAGCTTTGCGGTCGCTTAAAATACGTTATAACGAGTAGAAGACGGGGAAAGGTAAGAAGATTGGAATTGCCGGACAAGCTTCAGTTGAACATTTGCGCTTTTGTTTGCAATTTTATTTCAAATATACCCGACTCAACATTGTATCTACATCACCCTTGTCTAAGCTGAGACGCGCTTAACACAGAGTCTGTGTCTAGTCGAGCCTACACCTTTAGGGCCTGTTTACATGAAGTGGACTTGAGTGGGCTAGTTTCCACAGGCGAGATCTTATTCGCATGTGTTTACACGAGGACACGATTTATCCTACTTTGGTGGGATGACCTCTTATTTGAAAATTGTAAATGAGGTTTTTTTAGTTTTTCGCTCCACAGTATTGAATATGAATTTTTCTTTGGCGAATAACAATTGGATTCATTTTCTGACCGTTAAATTATACGGTATGCTCGGATTCGTACTTCAGTTAGACGGAATTCCGATTTTGTGTTCGATCTATCAAAAGTATGCGATCGACATGTTAGTGTCATTTTAATTGAGGAAACGTTTGAATTCTCTAGGTTTCTGTACGCTTTTACTAAGGTTTTAGCAGAAGAGCCTGAACTGTTGCTGCCGATTCATACGACATTATAATTTGGTTTAGTTTGGCACCAATTTTCTCTACGCAGCAGCATTTACTTTCAGTGAGTGGGCTAGCCCACCTGATTGCGCTTACATGGATAAGTTCCATCCCACCTAACGTGGATCCCACCTGTCCTTTTCGCGGATCTCACCTGAGCGGGCTGGCCAACTTTTCATGTAAATGCAAATACAGAGAACAAAGGAATGTATAGGAAGCACGGATCCCGCTTGAGTTAACCAGCCCACTTGAGTGGGATAGCCCATTTTATGTAAACAGGCCTTTAGAAAGGAGAAATTGGCCGCCTTTCTTGCTGATGATAATTTTCAAAATCACAAATCCTGTATGTCTTTGCTGCTAAAATGATGGCAAGCGCAATAAGTTCAAAATTAAGCTACAAAGTGCTTCTGCAAAGTCCATCAAAAAAATCGAAAAGTTTCTAAAAAAAAGCAGATAATTTTTTTTTCTTTGCACCAAATGAGCATTGCGATTACTAGGTCAATATAAAAAACTGGAAATGTAACACAGAGGCGTATACAGCTTTTGAAAGTGCTAACTCGTTCATCAAATCTGGTCAATAAAAAGAGCCCTTGGCATCTTTAAATTTTACCTTAATTAGCAGAAAATAAAGTACCAGTGTAGAGATTAAATGTACAGATAATTTCTTGATCAATGTTGATACTCTTGAAATTCAATTATTATTACAACTCTATTACACTCTATTCTTAAGACAACTCTAGATATGCCAGTGTATCCTGCAAAAAGTGGACGAAACGGATTAAAGAAATGAATAGAAATGATTCCAAACGTTACAACCCACAAACTCCGCATATCTTCAAGAATTAAAAATAGTTACGCTCTAGAATGCAGTCAAGAAATTTTAAACAGACAAACATACCTTTCGCTTCAGTTGAGTTACTGTTCTCTGAACCTCCCACATCTTTTCCATAACTTCTTCCTAAAGAACAAAAAACATTTTTAAGCCCCTACTTTCCCCTCTAGATCTAGCACAAGCGCGCCTGCTTAGAGTGGATTCCCATAGATTTAACGTATCTTAGATGTGATTAGGTAGAAAATAATACTGCGATGCTTTAAGAGACGAGACAGACAAAATACTTTAACCGCAATAATCATTAAGAACAGCAAAGCAACTTGCATATGAAAAGTCGATATTGAAGGCCTTATCAAAGGGCGGGAGGTAAAATTACGGCGCAAGCGCAAAAATATGCAACCGCAAGCAGAAAGATTCAACTTAAGAAGCAAATCACTCCAATAAACAGGTTATTGATGATGTGAAATATCTGCATAGATGATCACAATCATTTTATCATCAATCGCTTTTTTGCCGAAGATTTCCGCTTTCATTTGCTTTTTAGTTCATAAGATCGACGTTCAATGATGACAACATTCCATGCCACAAAAGTCCCGAGTACACTTAAGTTTTGGCTAGAAACAAACCGAAAAACTTCACCTGTTAAAAAATAAACATTTCAGTAATGGTTACTTTGGTGAAATCCTGCAAAATCTCGCAAAATCTTGAAACTCTCGTTAAATCTCGTAAAATCACCTAAACAGCTTTTAATTGTGGTAACTCTCTGTGAGCTTTACGGACTCTTTCGCAAAAAGGGACGAAATATACCATCCTTTGAAGGTCAGGTTAAAAAAGCTCCGAAGGGGAAACTACCCAAAATTGTCCACAAAAATTGTGAGACTGCTTTTCCTTCCTACCTCGCAATAGTGCCAAAGTCTGTTTGGCGTATTTACTATCGAATTATTTGATAAACCATTCGTGATTTTGACTTAGGCTCCAGATAGACGTATTAGTTGCTCAACCCTTCCACCGTCCCCTTCCCTCCCCCTCCCCCTCCAAGCAATGTTATTTGTTGAGATTTGGTAAAATAGTTGCAAATCATGTGTGCAAAGACCGTATACAATAACAAGAACTCAACAACATTGCTTGAAGGGGGAGGGGGTCAAATACAATTCTAGTAGATTACTGTCAATAAATTTGTCTTGATTTTTTCACTGGTCTCAGTATATTTTGTGAAAGATTGCAGATGACTTTAATATAAAAGAACACATCTAATGAGATACCGATTAGCATAGTCAAAATTTCTATTAAAATAGTGTAGCTTTCTTGCCATGAATCCCTCGCAGTTATGCATCCACGCAAAGACGTGCGAAGAGGAACGCAGCCAATAAGACGACCCTGGATTGGCCCGAATAGGGATCCTTCTAGTTGAGAGGTACCGCAGGGGTCAAAATAAAGAAATAGCTTTTTACCACTAACCAGAAATATCAGAACCACTAAATACTGGTTTCTTGGTTTCTCCAAGGTCAGACTAAAATGCAGTTGGTTCGAGGGCAAACTAGAAATGAAGAGTCTTTAATATTATGTCTAAATTAGCCTTAATCAGATTAAGCTCAAAATCGCGTATCGATCGATTGGCTTACTAGGCCTAATTTCAATTCTGTGATATTTCAAGTGGCAATTTCATTTTTCTTTGAAAAATTAGAAGTCTCGATAAGCCTGCATTTTGAAAAACAGATTGGCGAAGGTGAAGGGTCCGGTTCAGACAATCCGATTAACTTCGTGTCATACATGTCAAGGAGTCTTTTTGAATGCATCAATGAATCACAGGTCGTCTAGGGTCAGGGAACGCTCTCCTAGAAATATGACATCAAGCAAGACATGGTAGCTCTCCGGATTGTTCATATCCGCCAAACAGATTCATGTGTTGGGATGTTTCAATAGACAATTGCCTTGTCTGTTTGAATTACAATCATAACAGATGGGGTCAATGTTAATCATAAAACTGTGATAGCGACAGATTTAGGTTTAGTGATGTACTGGCTAGCGCATAGTTGATTTGACACTATAACGATGGTTTGTTATCTGCCAAAAAGATCTGTTTATAGTAATAAGGAAGCCATTTGTGCTGTAAATTGGACCATTGATAATAGAAGCCTATTGGTTTAACAGTCTATTAGATATATGACTAGCAAAAGTAAGACAATATCTTTTGACAGCGTCCTTTAGGCATTGCAAACAAAGAATTGATAGATTAGTCTCTCTATAAACCTTAGCTGAGCTAGAAAAATTCAGGCGGCGTGAACTGGTTCCATTATGTCTCACTACTGCGATAAAAACACCAGAATACATGAGTGATTTACTTGATCTCTCAATCAGCGTTGCAGCCACCATTGCCAACAATAATGATATCTATAGCTTAAAACAGTGACCTGAAACAAATTTTCGCAGCAGCCATTTCACAGTTTAGTCACTTGTTTGGCTCAGGCTAAATATACTCGCCATCCTCTGTAAGGCCACCCTTCGTCACTACATGAAGCAAACCGCTTCAACCATGCCGGTCACGTTTCACAGAAATACATGTTGGGCCTAAAGATAGATGTCGAAACAGCGGAAATTGACAATAGAGAGTGGTTGCACGTTGGTCACTGACACTGGCCAAGAGGCACAACAATTTTCCTTTGCTGATGGTGCAGGTCTTGTTCAATTCATTAAATTGTTAACGACTTGACACAGCGACACACGAGAGCAAAATTTCATCAGTTCCAGAATCAGTAAGCTCTTGCCGCAAATACAACGCATTTGTGGAAATATGTGCAAGGATAATAAGTTACAGTGCAAGCTTCTAACTTCATTGTCTTTGTGAGTAGAAAACACTCAATTCCAAAACATGTTCATTACAATGAGTTGACATCAATTTGTTCTATTAAAAATTTATTGATAAAAATTCTAGCTGCTTGCTGACCTGCCTTTTGTACGATGTTCAAAGAGGAGATCTTTTTGACAGTGTCGAAGCAATATTGCTTTCAAATGGCCTATCGAGCCTTTTTGACGAAATTCTAGCTCGAGCTATTTTGTGTGTTTACAAAAGTTTATTGATACTGAAAATTTCAAGGTAAGGCTTCATGCATCGGAACATTTTTGATGATCTGCATTTGACCAAGCCATTTCGTCAATTATTTCATTTGTTGTTGTCATATTGAAAGCTTTATGCTTTGTTGGTGGAAGAAATTTTTACCGAAATTTTAATCAGGTCATGCTTTGCATAACTGGTAAGAAAACTTTATGTAGAACCCAAAATTCAAAAAAAGCCATAGAATGCACCACCTAGCAGCTATTTTTGAACAGATACAAGTTAATTGCGGTTAATCATGAATAGCTCCATGTTTGTTATATACTTGTACCCCTATTGTGTTGTTGTGTATATTGTCCGGTGAAAATCTTTATAAACGCTAACAACAAAGAATTGTCTAAATTCTAAATTTGTGTCAAAGTCGGGGCTCTTTGAATGATAACCAAAACAAATTACAATTGTCAAGCGACAAAAAGACAGTCACAAGTTTAAATCACGAATACTCACTTCATTGGTGCCTTCTTGCTTCATCTTTTCATATAAGTTATCAAGAAACACCTCCTGTTTGGCCAACTCTTCTGCTAAGGACCTACAAAATAGAATCTTAAAGGTTATAGCTTATCTGCTGCTAATTTCGGGCTAAAAATAGGCCCAAAACCAGCTAAAACATTGCAGTAAAAAACCAGAACATGTATTGACGAGCCATTTGATATAAAATAACCGCAAGCAGATATTAATAGATTCGAAAAATTATTATATACAGTCACTATTCTGAATCAATATAACAATAGAGGGCAGTTTTAGGTCCTGATATAACAATAAAGGTCACAATCTGCACACATTTTATGCGAAGTACAACAGGAGAAGACCTTTAGGTTTGAAAAATTTAATCAAAGACCTACGAGTTTCATGACCGCAGTGTTTCGTTTTCTAAAAAACTGTTTCGTTAAAAAAAAAATTTCGTTTTCTAAAAGACTTCTATTACATCAGCATCAATTCCATGGACGCCGGAACTGGGAGCTAGAGGCTGACAGGAAAGATATATTTTGTGGTTCTCCGAAGTTTCCTGCAGTTTTTCGTATGCTTTCAGTTGTTTTCAATAGACAGAAAGAATATTTTTTCAGAAAAACTGCACAATTACTGGCACAGCAATTTAAATCAAAAATTGCATCTTTGCCTCAAACACAGCATATCCAGTGGCGGACACCTGGGGGCGCAGGGGGGGGCAACCGCCCCCAATACTTTAGAGGACAATGGTCTTTTGTTCCAAAACAATTGAAAATGTGATGTCATCTAATTAAAACAATAGGCTTGCCCACGCCCCCCCCCCATATTTGACCGAGTGTCTGCCCCTGAGCATATCTCGTATACATTTACAAAGGAGTCTGTTTCCAGCGAACCTTTCATTAAAGAAGTGCCCTGTTATTCAAATTATCGCATTCTTGTACAAAACGGCTTATTCATGTTTCTGGTGGTGTCGACATAAACCTTTGAAAATCTTTACAAATTTCACGCTACCTTGGGGACTTTGGCTGAATGAGTTGCGGTTCTTTCTCTGCAGGTTCCACATATCTAGAAGAATCAAGGAAGACTTTCAGAGTTCATAAATCTGTCAAAGGTATCCAACTATCATTTACCAATGACCCGCTTCCAGATATCATTGAGATAAAATGAATATTTCAATGATTCAGAAGTAACCAATATCAGAAAACTAGATGAGGAGGCAAATGTCTGCTAAAATTTTAGCTTGTAAAGTCAAGTGATTTGTGACAATGCGCTATTTCTAGCCAGAAAGTGACACAATAGAGGAAAATCTGCAACTCTAGGAGCAAAGAAATAGTTGACGTCCCATATTCTCTATTCATGGGCACTTTCAGATGCAATGGATTCTGCGATATTAATTAGAAATTCCAGGCACATCTACTGAAAAAAACAATAATTTTAGGACCAAAAACAATCACGTTATCGGACGTCTTTGTCCATTGAGTCTTTCTTGAGGATTTCCTTCTCAGAAACCTTGGCTTTAAAAACGCATCATCTTAGAAAATACAATAGGAAAACCTTGGCTTTAAAAGCGCATTATCTTAGAGAAAAATAAGCCTAACATTGTCCAAGGTTTTTGATCGTAGCCTATTAAAAACAGTTCAAAAAGATAGGTAATAAAGCATGACATGGTTTAATTATGCATTTCATTGTTTAAGTCCGCTGACTTAAAACTAACACACCTTAACTGAATTAGCACAGCTTTTATTTAGTTCAGATTTCTCAAAAATCAAGACTAAACATCTTCACCGGCAAAGAAACGGTTATTTTTGACAGGCCTTGAAAATAACTGTAGGTATGTCGGCATCAACCTGTGACGTCGACAGAATAAAGGGAGTCCAGGTGCATTTGGCTGACCCACCTAAATTCTGCCACATACTTAAGTAGACTGTCAGGTCCAGTGATGAAATGCTAGCATCTCCGTCAATACATTCTGGTAGTTTTATCACAACATTTGGCAACAACGCTGACTTTCATAAAACGTAAACAAAAAGTGGGCCTATCGAAGTGGCCAAAAAACTAGAGACGGCGTATAAAAAGTTTAAAATGCAAAGGTATTACACTGTAAAACGAGTCCTTCAACTTCCTTAAAAGAAAATCAAACCATGAATTTTAGTCTAATAACTGTTAAACGGCAAAGTCAAACAGCGAGTACTTCCTAATCGTTGGGTGATCGTTGAAAGAGAAAAGCAACACTCGGGAATTGAAGGCAATCGAGAGATATAAAAGCGGCTAAAGGCATCTGTCAATCAACATTAGCCAATCAATTTGCGTGTGAGTGGAATCACAATCACTGATTGGTCAATTTTTGAATAAAAGATGACTTAACCCTTAAAACCATCTGTCGATTGCATTTAAGAAAGGCGCTCTGAAATACTCACTTGATGATTTTCACGTTTGGAAATATGGTATCGACATTTGTGAGGATAATATACAAAACACCATGGCTGATGTTCATGGTCGGACTGAACACAATGCTGATGCTTTGGATGCTCATCTTAGTCTGGGCGGACTGCGAATAACAAAATAATATGCAAAAAACATAAAGACAGACACAACTTATCAAAGAGATCACAACATTACCCAAAAATGCACTGGAAAGTGGATTTACCAGCAGAGAAAGAGATGAAACATGTGAAAAGCACAATTCAGTGTGACTTTGTACATGCTGAAAGAACATGGCGGCAAAGGCAAGAAATTCATGAGATGTGTTTTGGAAAGTTAATATCATTTAAAAAAACCACTGAGCAGTTACTTTTGCACGGGTAACTTCTGAAATTTAAGCAAAATATTAGCTCTTTCACAAAATCTGGCCAATTGAAAGAGCCGAAGGTATTTCTCAATAATTTCTGCATTTACAGAAAATGAAGTACCCAAGTAAACATTTGATGGTTCTCGATCTAGGTTCAGTGGTGATTCTTCAGAAATTTTTACAATCGAGCCCTGAGTGGAACACGGACCATTTCACTAGCTTCCGCAACAATTGGATGAAATGGTACCCTATTCAAATTATATCACCATTGTAGATTTCTGAGGCATTTTAGATTTTCTTCTGAGCGTTCTTCTATGAACAAATAGAGACCTGTACAGTAGAAATAAGGAAACTGGGAGAAAGCCTATAAGTAGGATAAAACTCTTGTGTCTGCATCTAAAAAAAATTCTTCAGAAACAACAAAAACAACATATTAAAGTACGTACGTTTTTCATCACATGATCAAGATGCACAAAGAGCCATGACAGCAAAGTGTAGTTTGGCCTCGGCAATTCTCCAAGCAAATACTTCATTTTCTCTACTTGTTCCCGTTCATCCCTTAAACCTATAAAAAACGAATGGTTTTTAATTCTAGGTCGGTTGACTGGCGATCAGAGTAATGATTGAAGACGTAAGCAGCAAATAAGGAGAAAAACGCTTCCGTGACAGCTTGAAATCTGCCTGCATCCACCTCCATGACATAAAGACAATTAACACAACAAGAGTGAAAAAATAGAACGCTATAAATGAAAAAAAATGGATGAATAAATGATTCATAAATGAGTCCAATTATAGACTTTTTTTCTTCACCAAAATTTTTTTTTCATATACATCTATTTCAAAGCTTCATAACTTATATTTCAAAAACAAGGTTGAACAATAACTGAATCGCTGTACACGCAATTGACCTTATTAATCGTTTATAACTCTGTATGTACTATTTTCTGATTAGGTACTTACCCACTATAGCATCGAACACAGGTTGCAACGTTTGTGTGAGTAAATTTTCAGGCAGCTCCCTAAGATATTGCTTAAGAAGACCAGCAACTATGTTTGGATCAAGATCTTCAGCATCAAAATCTATTTTCGTCCCTATAAAAATGTCACTTAATTAAAATCAGTAATAAAATGAGAGCAGCGGCTGGTAAGTGTGATACTCCACAATTACATTGGCTAGTCTTACCGATTTTACTTAATTTGATATGATAGAGTTATATTCACAAATAAAGCTGAATGTATTGACTTGCATTTTCACATCGTATATCAATGGACATGACAAAAGAGGAAATTGAAGAGTACGTATGCATAAATAGTTTTTCGAAGCACAGTAGTAATATAGCAGTTTTTATAAGGGGTATAAAGGAAATGTTTGACATTCTACGCCTGAACAACCATCAAAAACTCTGAAAATTGGATTTTATCAAGGGATTTACATTTAATCTCGATACAAAACTATCGTTAATACAGCTGACTTATGCTTTTAAATTGCTACATTCATAGGTAAGCATCTACGTTTCAATCTGCAGACATAAGGTTAAAACCTTGCTGTGTACTGGTTCCAGCATCTTTATACCTAGGCTTTTGTGATAGTGGGCGTGTAACATTGAGATTCGCATTACATTGATGAGAAGGCACATAATTCTCTACGTACTATGATTCCAGCATTTGTCCGAAGGGTAGCAAATAGAAAAAAGGGTAGTGGTTTTAAGGATGTACCGGATATCCGGTAGGCCGGATAATCCGGCGCCGGATCGCTGATTTTTTGAAAATCCGGTTCCGGCCGGATTTGTTTCCGAAATCCGGCCATTTGCCGGATTTTCCAGAACTTTAATCATAACTAAGAAAATTTGGAAAACCAAGTCAGACTCCCTTCATACAGTGATTAAAAATGGATTTTCCAGAACTAAACAATATCGACGATGAAACAAGCGCCTTGAAAACAGATTTGAAATGAAAGTGCTCGTCATCACGAAACAGGAAGGCTGGATGATATAATTCACAAATTTGGTCCAGGGTTGCCAGATTGGCTTTTTAGGCCAAATTTTTCATTTTTGGTTTTTAGATTTAGATTGCCTGGAAAAATTGTTTTTTGCTTACAACTTAAATTTGACCTTTGTTGGCCTTTTCAGCAGACGTCCAAAATTGATAAGTAATTACTACATTCATAGAACAATTAGTAGTTAACTACAAAGTGTTAACCAAATTTCAAATTTTATCAGCTAACCTAAATATTATCTTGATATTAGCAAAGGGTTTTGGAAAAGAGTAAGATTCTTATCAAAGTTAAGAAATTATCTAACAGGCACAAGCGTAGAAATAAAACCAGTGCCTGCTCGATGGATTCTTGAGAGAGTTTTTGATTTGGCCTTTTTATGAGCATTTTGGCTTAAATTGCTCACCAGTCTAGCCTTTGTTTGTAAATTCAATCTGGCAACCCTGAATAGGTCTCTTTGATCTTCTCGCTATACATTTTTTCGCAAAGTGGCTCAAAACGTTTTATTACTGAAAATTCTATAAATGGTCAGATTATCCGGTAGAATCCGGCCGGATATTCCACGAAGAAATCCGGTAAATCCGGTTCCGGCCGGATTCTGAAAATCCTGATCCGGTACACCCCTAAGTGGTTTCTTATAATACAGATATAGTTACAATCAAAATCCCTTCACACAAACAAATAACACTTTCAGTATTAGTATTTAGATCACCTAGGTGCAACTAACAAGCCTAGGAACTAGCAAAATCCCTTCACACAAACAAATAACACTTTCAGTATTAGTATTTAGATCACCTAGGTGCAACTAACAAGCCTTGGAACTAGCAACCCTTTCAGTATGCAAGAACTTCAAATTATTGTATTTATAGGTTAAGCCTATAAAAAAACTACCCTCTTACTTTTTATTATTTATACATGAACATGCATGTGACAAATTAATTATTTACAAATGTGACTTGAACATACATACCATGATCAAATAAAGTTTTTAACTCATCTATTTTGGATTTTACACCAGAAACTCTATACAAGCCCTCCTGATCAAGTCCTGCAAAAAGAAAAACAAAAAATAACATAGGTGAAACTAGATATAATTTGAGCCCTGTACAAATATTAATTGATTTCAAAATTACTGCAAATGAATGGCCTTAAACTGTTACCAATGCCTTATGACTCTTCGATTTGCAATTTTTTGTTGGGGCCTATTGTAGGCAATTTCATCTAATGTTGGGGGCCTATTGTAGGTTTGCACTTTTTCAAGATCAACCCTACTTCTACTTGCGGCCTAAGGATTTGGCCATTTTGCTTTCTGCAGTTTCAACTTCAGAATAAGATGCCTCTTATGTCTTTTATTGTAAATTTGCAACAGTTTACAGCTTTTAGTACCAGGGTGCATTTGCAAGAAATTATACAATAATGGTTTGGACCAATGCAACAGCTTGCTCTGTGAAACAGAGTGAGAGCCATAAGAACTTGTCATATAGCTACTTCTAGCAATGTTTCCCTCTAGCAATGTTTCTTCTTAGCGGCTGCATCTTTGCACTTGATTTCATTGGGGATTGCAGCTTTTGGCTGCCTCTTCACACAGCTTTTCAGCTTTTGGAACCCCTATAACAGGCCCCCAATATATTAAAATTGGCAGAGAAGAAAACAAAGTGCCTTGCATTGCCTACTTTTGCAAGGAAACCATCACTTTGAAATCATTGATCTTTGCAGATTTATACTACCAAAAACATCAAGACCTTTAACAAAAGACCAAAGGAGGAGAATTTTTATCAGAACACTATATCAAAACAAGTACCTACCATTTTCTTCTAAATAATGGATGCATTGTCTAAAGATTGTGGGCATTTCAAGGCCATCTGCAATCTTGCTTCTTGCAACTGCTACTTCTAGTTTAACCCCAAAGACTGGCTTGACTGCAAGAGATTTAAACAGGTTAAGTATGTATATATATCTTGTTCATATAAATTTGGGTAAATAAAGTATAAATGTGCGAAAAAAAGTGAAAGGGAAAAAACTTAAAATAATCAGTCACCTTTTGACAGCATTTTATTTAGAAAATTGAAGTGTTTGTTGCAACAAACATGTGTTCTTCAGTTATCAAAAAAGTTTCGGAATTTAAAGACAACACAAGTGCCAGCATTTTATTTACCTTCATCAAAGTACCTAGGCTTCATATTTTATCATTTACAAAAGAAAAAATGGCTGAATAGTTTACAGAGGCTATGTTAATGACAAAGTGTGTGTGAACTTTACAAGCTAACCTGGTGGAGGAGGAGACTGAACATTTGCAGGAGTCAGGGCAGCTCCAGCTGATAAAGACCTTTTATGTTTCTTTTTCTCTTTCTTTTCCTTTTTTTCTTCTTTTTCTTTTTCTTTGGTCTTCTCTTTATTTTCCTTATCCCTTTTCTTCACCTTAATTGACTTGAATTTTTCTTTAAATGTGTTTGAACGATCTTTTTTAGGCTTCTTTCTATCCTTCCTATGAAAATAAGTATGATTGCGAGTTAACAGGAGTACCTGTTTGAAATTGTGACCCACTTACTAAGCTCTATAATTTCTAATGTGGAAAACTAAAGCTTTGAAAACTAAAGGCACAAAGTCAAATCATTTGCAAGCACGTTCTACTGGCAAACTCATCTGACTAAAAAATTTAACTTATAGTGGATATACATTTTGCATTTTCAATTGCATAATTCTGAAAGGTACGTTTTTGGGAATAAATGCCTCTTGCATACAAAAAGGTAAATCGTGCAGCCTGGAAATGGTATTCTATCTTTACAGTGCTTGCCAGGTCAAAATGTTTTCCACCTTAAACAATTGCAAAATATGTTTGATCATTATAATGATTCAGATTAAAGCACATCAAACTTCAACTCTGGAACTGATGTCAGAAGACTATAGAACGATTTTAATGGTGTCATTATTATTATTATTGGTGTTATTTTCTGCAAAAAAGATCAAAATGTATATGCCCAGTGATGTCAGTAGTGGTCGCTCAGATCAGCAAAAAATAGCTAAAATGGCCAGATGAAGAATGATCATGATTAGCAACTTATAATAATTTAACAAATGAGCAATTGTATGAAGAAGAATTTATAAGAAAGAAACTGAGATTGCAAAATAAGTTTTTTTCTTATATGTTTTGTATTTTTTGCATTTTTTGTATTTGTTTCTACTTATCATCCGATGGTAGTTTTTAGGACACTGAGAAGCTATGCTTATCGAGCAGTGTACTGGACCTTCCTCTCGATGTGTCCACACCTCATGATTCTTACGCCTGGAATTACAGAGAGCTGGCGACTCTCCTCACTCTGGGTCAAAGTTTGCGCTGGTTTGCTGTTTAGCACCATAGCAATGTCTAAAGGCTACATTTTCAACAAGGTCATAGTTGCTTTGATCAGATTATCTGTTTCATGTGTTTTGTGATTCTGTTATCATTCCCATCACACTTAAAGGGCCACTCCAGCCCAAAAAATTTTTCTGAGATTTTTGCATAAATTGGTAGTTAGTCGAGAAAAAGAAGCTATCGTGAAATTTTTTTTCGAAAAGCTTGACTCGTTTTCCAGATATAGACGCTCAAAGTTGAGAATCACCGTAAAAATACGACAAAATTTTTTTCGGAAAAAGTACCTTGTGACGTATGAAGGGACCATTGTTTCAACATTCGGCACTATTGTTATACGTTCGCACTGAAATTCGCACGACTCGGTAGAGGCTCGGAAGAGGCGATTCATGTCGGAATCTCGGTTGTCGTTTTATTTATTTTCTTCATTGCGATTGATGTTCAGCGGAGGCTTCCAGCCAACATGGACTAGTAATTCGACAAATCAAAGATGGAAGCTTCAACCTGAACGCATACCCTCATCTTGGCAACGCAGCAAGCTTTTTAATATGGAATGCTTCACGAATTTTCAGATGTGAATGGATTTCTGACCGAAGGCATTTCTTATCGTCATGTCATCTCAGGAATTTCCAGGGAGCTGAATAATAATTGATGTCTCACCGCATTAGAAGAAGAACCCCATTCACAAAATGGAAACTTTCCCGTAAGTCACAATTCATCCTTATTATCATTTTACTATGTTGAATGTTAGGCGAAACTGCAGGGTGTAGAGGTTTGGAGGGGGTTTGGGGATGGTGTGACACGCACCCCCTAAGCAACGCAATTTGCCGGCTTTGAGAAAAACTTCGTACTCTAAATACAAGTTTTCTAACAGTCTTGTGAACTGTCCCCCAAATAGTCAGAAATGTGGTAATATGAAAAGTACAACAGGGGCTCTCAAGCAAAATGTCACATAAAATAGTACCAAAAGTAGAAGTTTGCTACTTTTTTGTACCAATAAGGGGGCCTGAGCCTCCTAGCACTACATCCCTGCCAATGATCTGTGCACTACACCTTTGCCCGAGGTATAGATATGTAAAATTTCTCAGGGTTTGTCTGATGTTTCCCTGAACACTTTTTCTTCATGTTCTACCATGTTCTGCCTTCAATTTTGGAGTTCTGCCTATTTCATCATAGAATTGATGCACAATTTCAAAATTTTGCCAAGACAAAACATCCAGGGCAAAAGATCTACTACCCCAAAGAAAAAACATGGAATTTACACCCTTGGTTTTGGAAAAAAGATGTGTCATATCCTCATTCTAATGTTTTAAAGGCAGAATTGTTTATATTTGTTAAAATTTCCTTTGCTATTCTAGCATTGATTCATATAAGCATGGCCTATATCATTTAAATTCATCTTTGTGTTACTTCAAGTTAATATCCTTAGATGATATTTGCTATAGTAACAGTGGTTGCCCTTTCACCTCTAAATTTCTCTTTGATCCTTTTAAATATCTATACTCTGAATGCCCCTGAGTGTCCAAGTTTCTTTGATCATTTTATGTTTTAATATGACTCAAAAGTAAATTTCACTGGTATGTTAGTATTTATCCCTGTCAACCTTATTATTCTAGGCATAAAAAAGGTAACAAACTCTTTTATGGATCAGCAGAAAGGATCTTGCAAAAAAATGCTAGATGAAGGTTGGAGATTACATGCATTCTGTTATCTTGCTACTGGCTTTGTGGGAGTGATAACTTGCCCCTCTCTTCCATGCAAGAGTTACCACAAAGACCTCAACACATTATTCTGTTTTTGTATTAACATTTTTTACAAAGGAGACTATTTTTAAAATTATCAAAATTTTATATATAATTTGGTCATATCTATATAATGTTTGCAAATCCACTGCTATTATTTAGAACTAGTAACAACATATAGGTATTTTCTAGAAATTTTGCAATAGATTATTGTTTCATGATACTTTTATAAGAACATTTCTCATGTGCAATAGAAATTACAAATTTCTAGATAGTTCACTGGTCTGATTGTTTAGATATTTGAATATATAATCCAATGTAGCCAAGTATTTAAATACATCAAACATGTATTTATTATTCATAAATATAGCAGGTTGAAATTCTGACAGCTTAAAGGAGCTGAAAAGGCCCCTGTAATAGCTTAAAGGTTAAATACAAAAATTATATTTACACAAGTACATTGAAAAAGTTGAATTATTAATATAATCTCAAATCCCTCTTTTGTTTGTATAAAAACAAATTTATAATTTTTGAAAAAGTTGTTTGACTCATGACTAATGGTAGGTTTTTAGTCTTGTCTTGAAAGTTTGTATACTTTCTTGTCCATGCCCTCGATTGTCCTGGTTTATTTCTAATAAGTCATAGTCATGTTGATATGAAGCTCTTCATCCTAATGAATATGTTGTATCAATTCATACAGCTTTCATTCCCGGTATACTGGTTTTGTTTTGGTCTTTCCTCTCGAATTAATTGCGCGATGGTTTTTTAGCTGTTGCACTAAAGGAAGAGCTGATGAAAAAGCGCGAATCTTCTTTTTAAAATCAGGGAACTGGCCTGCCAATATAAATTGCTTCAAAAGCAACATTCCACGAAAGTCTGTCAACATCCTCATGTCTCTTTCTCGCTGGCCTACTTTGACAATTTGACTTCTCTGTCAGAAAGATTCGTGCGATAAAAAACTTCTATATTCGATCAGAATATCAAGACTGATGAGCGATACTTCTCTCTTTATATCGATTCCAGATAAAAGTCTGGCCTACTAACAAACATGCCGCTGCTAGGCCCTGTCTGCCATTTCGCTAGGTTCTCGTTGACCCTTTGGACAGCCGATGATACTTGCCGCGAATTTACCGAGGCCGAAAATGCCTGTGACGTCAATCCGAAGATCTCCGATAACACGGTTGAAAAACAATTCAACTCAATGACCATTTTACAAACGCTAATAACTACAAAACGGTTAGAGATATGAAAAAAATAATAACAGATTCGTTTTCAGGAGGTCTGATTACATCGTGTTCTGAAATAAAAATTTTGGGCTGGAGTGGCCCTTTAAGCAAGAATCAAATTTTGAATCTTTTAACTATTTTCCTAATTCATGATATAGGTATTAATGAACAATAAATCTACTGTGTTATCTAAATTTTCATAATTTATGACTTAATAACTTTATCTACATGTTAATGCCTGCTTCTAGAGGGGCCCCTCCATATTTTTGTGTGATGTGTTACTGGCCATATTTTCATGCGTGAAATGGTGAAATCTCGATTTTTTTGCGTGATTTCGTGAATTAAGATCCCTATGTGAAGCGTGAAACATTTCTTGTGCAGTTTTTTTTGCGTTATGTCATGACAAGGTTTTAACTAACCGTAAATTGGTGAATGAAATTTTGAATGATAATTTTTAAAAAAATTGCCTCAATTTGGTGCATAATAAGCCAATGATAGTTAAATCTCAAATTAGTATTCAAAGTTTGAAAGTGGTGTTGTAGTCCTTCAAACAGTGCTCTGATGAGCAATAGCTGAAACTACATTTACTGCTTGCGTGAGCGTGAAAATCAAATTTTGCAGTGCGTGAATGTGCGAAAAGTAAAAAATTATGCGTGAATGCCTGAATCACAACCACTATGGGGGAGCCCCTCTAGAGTCAGATGATGATTATTCCATTTAAATATACAGAATGATAATTTTAAAAGTTTGTGATCAACTAGGCACCTATTTCTTGGTATGAAATGAAATTCATTTAACTACAATACATTTCAATGACCCAGCCCTTTAAAATGCTACAATCCTTGCCAAGATTGCTTGAACACTTGCCCAAAGCTAGAGCTTTTTTAGAAATATCCCCCTACCCCCCATTACAATATTGTTAAATTTTGCTATTTCGATGCTGAAGGGAAAATTTCTTCACTCAAAGCGGTATACCAGCCTTGACTTAAAAAAGCGTTGTTGGCAAAAATAACAATCGGTTGGTTCTATTATGCATTGTACCATACAATATTTCAGTGTTAGCATTAAGATTTAGAACCTTCGGCACAAATTCGTAATTCACTCGACCGGTATCCATTATCTATCAGTTGGGTGTTACACTTGTTATTATTCAGAGTTTGGCTTGACATGAGTGGTCTGTCAGTATAATGGTCTGTCCCGGATGAAATCACTCCAAAGATCTGTGACAGGCCCTTAGCCTTTAGCCAGTTATAGTTATAGATTATAATAGTAATATCCGGCGCGATGTTTACATGGATTCCACAATGACCCTAACTTGTGTATGGTTGCGAACAAGAAACCACAGACTGGGAGTTATGTTGGTGCAACAACAACACAAACTATTTCAACTATCGAGGTTTATTTTGTATTTTTGTTAATCTTTTGCATAGGCTATGAATTATGGTATAATTTTTGGGCCTACCTTGGAGTCTCTTCTACTTCAAACTCCGAAGATTCGTCATCATCAGACCTAAAGGCGACATATCTTTTGGTATCCTTTTTATGATGTTTTGGGCTTTGTGGAGGCTCAAAACCACTTTGGTTATCATCTTGGTCAACAGCGTATCCGGTGGAATCTCTTTCCTCGGCCATTTCAAAGTTCGTGCGCCATTTTCTTCATCCCCTCGTCTCACTTTTCGTTAATTCAAATCGAGGTTGGAATGAGCAGAGTATCAAAGGAAAGGCCCTCTAGAACAGGAGTGTCCAATCCAATAATCGGGGGTGTAAAACTTAATTGCACAGAGGCCAAAAATCCAAAACATACTTTAGGTCGCGGGCCAAATAGGATAAAAATTATTGGACACATTTTATTACTTATTACTTTTATTACTTATTAACCAGAATAATGTAAAATTATCTCGCGGGCTGGGTATAATTACACGCAGGGCTGGATGGCCTGGATGTGGCCCGCGGGCCTTGGGTTTCACACATGTAAGGAACAATATTTTCTACTTGCACTCATTTCTTTTTTTTAAATATCCAAGAAAGTGAGCCAAATGATTTTTCTAAATCGAATGAGAAACATGTTTGAGAGAACACCTTCACGTTACTGGCGCCCTAAGTCTAGATTCGGGGGTACTGACTGGGAATGGATGAGAAAACCAGCCAGGGAAAACATTTTACTTTCAACAAACCAGTCTTTATTTTGACCAAAACAATTAGTAAAACGTTTTTACAATTGTTTGGAACTCGTTTATTTTCAATTCTTTCAATTTGGGTCTCAAAAATATAGGTTTCAGTGTATATTCACTTATTAGAGATTAGGCAACTATACCCAAAAAAGGGGGTCATATTTGAAATCCTAACTGGACCATTAAATATGTTAGAATTTTGATTTTGAATGCATTTGATCTAGGATGCAGGAAATTAGCTGCTTAGACAATGTTCCGGTTTTTATGTAAATTTTCTGCGCTTATAGTATCTTGTGACTCACTAACTCAATTTTCTGTTTACATTATTTTCTAACTGCTTCTGTTATAAAAGTTACATTGTAGCTTGAGCCAGTTGACGCAAGTCGAATTTAGCATCGTCTTTGGTAGTTAATTTTGTATGGATAAATTTCCTGTATAAATAGAACGTTGAGGGTTTGTAAGGTGCGTTAATCTGGGGCCTATTGTGTGAACTCAGGTGATATTTTGATAAATGACATGTGAAAAGTTACTTTTTCTTTGGTCTCTTCTTTGGAACACAAAGTTTACAAAAATCAGCAATATTAGATCGTGTGATGTCCAAAAAATAGCAATGTGACTTTTCATGAACTTCATATTGAACAAAATTCAAAGTTCGATGCTCATATCGCAAGAAAGGAACCAGAAATATCTGAAAAGTGGCTTTGAAAGAAAGCAAACATCTGAGTATACTGAAGCTTTTTTACCTTTTTGAGCCACAAAAGGGTATATATATCTCCTAGCGTGGAGTTTTCGGTCTTTGTTCTGACGTCTTATACTCTGGGAGAGTCAGATGAAAAGCTTCGGGTATACTCGAAAGTTTAGTTTTTTCAAAGCCATTTTTAATTTTTGTACCACCAAAAGATTATTTGCAAATCTAAAAAGGCAGGCAAGATCAATTGTGTATTTATATTAATGATTTGAGACGTGGAAAGCCAGGCAATAGACAAGTCTATTCCGACTTTTCGTCGTCTTCCAAAGATTTCCTGGCTCACTCGATAAATACTGCCATATACATTCAATCAGTTAAGATATTTGGACCTGAAGCAAATAGAAATCTAGAATGTCCGGTTAAGCCTCCATATAAAGGACACCGTCTGGACATGTATTATTGTTCGTGGCATAGAGATGTCCGTTGTATTGGGCTTCCTTTTCACCATTTGGGAAAAACACTTTTCTGTCCGTTGTTGAAAGGTGTCCGTTGTATCGAGGTTTCTATTAATGTAGGTTCAACTGTGACAATATTTCAATGAAACACTATTATATACCTAAAAATGACAAGTTCTATCTAAGACTCCAAAATCCTCTTGGCCTTTTAGGTATGACACAATGACATCAAATAACTAAGTTTTCATGGGGCCTAAAATATCTGATTCAGTTTCTGGACCCTGAAAATAAAACTTAAAACGTTCCTGAAAGTAAGTGCAATTTTCATTCTGACACGCGCAGCCCTTCGCTTGATGTAATTGAGAGCAGCATTACATTCACTATTTTGAAATCAAGCATGAACATATTTATGGAATTTATTTCAACTGTAAGAGGTTCTTGTATCTATTTTCTATTATTTTAGCTTTATTTTCTTTGGTGAAAAAGATCTTCAAGCAGAAAAGGATCCCATTTTCAGAAAAGGCACTGACAAAAGGATGCTTTGCTGACAAAGTTTGTACTTTTTGTGACAGAATGGAATGCTTTCTCTTACAAACAAGAGCCCTTTTTAAATTTCTGAAAAAAATGAGGCCCTTTTGTCTCTTACGGCAGCTAATTTGGTTAAGAATCTAATGATATGTTAAAGTTATTCAATTAAAGTAAAGCCAGAAAGCAGTGACTTAAAGCAATAATTGGACAGTTGTCTTTCCTTGGCTGCTGTAGGGTTGAGTAACTTGTGAAATGATAGAAGGTCGTATGTAAACAGTGAACACTCGTCTACTGGAAGAGCACGAGAAGAGCAGTGCCTGTTACTGTGTTGAATCGGTTTGTCTTATGTTGAACGTCTCATACAAGACTGCGTACAGACTAAAGAAAGCCTGATGGCAAAATCTACTAAATCTACTAAACTTTTAGTCAAAGCAAAATCTACTTCAATTCATGTTCACTCTATTAGGCTGCTAGCACTAGAAGTTTACAAAACTTTGCACAACTTGAACCCAGCCTTAATGAAAGACCACTTTCTCTAAGAACCCAATAGCTATAATCTTCGAAGAATCGATACTTTTCTATTCCCCAATTACGAGTTGCGGTACCAAATCAATTAGATTCTCGGGTCTAAAGATTTGGAATTCTTTTTCAAATGAAATAAAATCATCCAGAAATGCAAATCAATTCAAAGTTTTTATAAAAGATTGGTATTTCGAAAATCAATGCGCCTGTAACGCTTGCAGTCAATGACTTCCATAATGCAATCTCTTAAATTGCTTCATGTTAGGGTATATCAGTGTTCACACCATTGTTAAACTACCAGTAAGAAAGGCTTTATTATTATTATGGCTAGTTCCTAAATCTATTATGGCTAGTTCCTACAATATACCACAAATTTTCTTTAAACCGATTTAAAAATTACCAAAGCCACGTCTTTCAGCATTTCCTAATTTGCAAATACGTTTAAATTTTCTTCATGGCCCGGATGATATTATTTTAAGCTAGTTAGATAAGTAACTATCAATTAAAGTAAATGAGAACATTTTTGGTAAATTAATTTTCGAAGTGCAATTTGCGGCAGCGTGCAATACAAAATGTAGTTTAATAGGATTTTGATGTGAAACTTATAATGAACAAGTACTATTTGCTTTTTTATAACTATGGCTTTTTCAATTACCAGTGATTATAATTCAGTTTAGCCCCACCCACGTGATAAGAATTAAAGCTTAATTTGCGCATGGTGGTTAGTGTATTGGTAACTGTGGAATCAATTCAGTCAATTGCACACCACTTAATGTCGGCCGAATATCCCTACAATCGGGTAAAACAGAAATCCACTATAAAAGGATTCAACGCAGTCTTAGAAATACACCCATCTCCAGGGATGAATTTACCGGGGATGTAGGGGGTGCAACACCCCCCTTCCCCCCACCCTCAATATTTTTGTGTCCTTCGGTAAATTTTGCAGTGATTCGGTAAAATGTATTTTTGATGGTCAGTAGTAACAAATTTACTTTATTCATCCTCTTATCTTCTTTACCTCAAAGTTAAAAGCTGGATTTTTAAAATTGGTGTTTTTGTCAATTTCCTGTCACCAAAATCATCAAGAAGCGTGTGGCACCAAATCTTATCATTATATTAAACCCCCTCCCCCCCCCCCACCAAAGATTGCCGCTTAAATCCGTCCCTGTCCATTTCTATAGAAAACTTTTTGCTTTAAACAACTATATTTTCTCTTTCAGATGCTTATGAACATTCTAAACTGTATGCTATAACAATACCTAAGGGGTAAGGAAAAGCATTCAAAAGAGTTGATAGGCTAAAAATCATACTTCATCTTCGATGCATTATTTTTCCTGAGACAATGAAAGCGTAAAATTCATAAAATTATTTTGTAGCTGCTTTTTGAAAAATCTTAAACACTTGACCAAATGCTCTCAACATTTCACTCGAAAACGCACAACATTTTGTCGAGTAAAGAAAGTGAAGAACGTTTTGCCACTTTGTCTAGTGATGTTGGGCATTATCGAGCGTTGTCAAGTTTGAAAAGGCAAACAATTTTTGTGTGATGATAGTGCTCGATATTTTTATTGTCTTAGGTGCTTTCGAGCGTTGTCGAGAGTGTTTGTCTATGTCTTCGACAATTTGCTCGACTTTAATGAGCTATTGCAGGTGGAATTTGCAACATGTGAAGATTTCCAGCTAAAACCTTTTTTTCACTGATTCCCTCGTATTTCGGTTATGTGTTTTGATTCTATTTATTAAATGGTAAGTTCAAGCCACTTTACCTCAATTTTGATAAAAATTAGATTGACATGTCTTTGACGAGGTCCCGGGCATTTGCCGTAGCGACCAATGTTAGTTCTGAAAGCAGTGACGAAGAAGAATTAGAGGGCCTAACATTTCAGCATGGTGGTTTAAAAAAAATACAAAAAGCAAGCGATATCGCATAACAACACAGCAGGATACAGTGGCAGCAAGAATTATGTTGTCCACAAGTTCAAGATATTATTGTCTGAAATGCTTGTTATGTCATGTAAGATATGGCTGCTCTATAGACACTATAGAGTACCGAAGTGTGACGTCATCAAGAATCTATTTTTAGAATTTCTTAAATTTGGCCACATAATCTGAAAGAACAGCTTAAAATACCTCTCAATATGCAAAATCAGCTAGATATGTTCAAAATTTGACAAGCTATGACCAATGAAAGATTTCAAGTTTGCTAACGAATTACTGTTATTCTGGCCTGGTTGATAAAATTATGAACCAAGATAAAATTACAGAGTTTTGATGGGGCAAGAGCCTGTGCTCAAGTGGCCATATCTCAACCAATTCGTAATGCCTTTAACTAATTTTGCATATTTAGAGGTATTTTATGATGCTCGTTCAGGTTCTGGGATCAAAATTCAGAAATTTTAAAAATAGATTTTTATGACGTCATCACTTCGGTACTAGCATCACCAGCCTAATTGCTTTGATCCGGCAGTTAGTGCTTTCTCTATCTCACTTAATACTTATCTTACTTCTTTCAAAGCGTTCGCAAAGTAGGTCCATCCCCTTGAGGTGAGCATAAATTACTTCTCCATATACTTTAATTTAACCAAATAAGTTTTTGACACCACAAAATTTGTAGATGGCACGAAATTGCGGAAACATGGCATGTTGACGTACTTTTCGTCTAACACTCTTCAGAGTAAACCTGAGTAAACTTCGGATAATGACCGAAAGTAAGCTAGAAACTTAAATCTAGGTGTAGTCCAAAGTAGAGGGAGAGGAAGAAAGCGAATACATTTTATTGTCAATATTTCATATTCTTCATAGATTTTCATTTATAGAGCAGGTATCTGAGGCAAAAGCCTCAATTCTCAAGTCGAATTTACAGTCGATTGAAAAATCGAGGGCATTTGGCCACTCAACTAAGAGGAAAGCTCAATCAACTAAAACATATCTCGGTGTTTGAGCTGACATTCCATTATTTTATCCCCCATTACCATTCACTATTCTTGATCATTCAATTCAATTCGATCCGGTCATTGTTCGCTGTCTGAACCAAAGGATCACATTATGAGCGAAATTTATTGTGGTTAATTTGTTGTAGTATTTGGACAGCAATTTATCAGCGCATTTAATTGACCCTTGGAATTTTTAAGGGCAATCATTTAATTCGAGGACACAAAATGCGCTGTCCAAAATGTGCCTCATTGACTCAGATTTTCTGCTTACCCTCTTTTCTAATCACTTCTATTATGATAATTGCATTGCAGCTTGAGCCAATTGACGCAAAGGAACCTAGCTTAGTTGGCATGTTCATAAATCAATTATATGTGAAAAGCTCAAATAACTTGGGAACACAAAGTTTATAAGAATCAGTAGTGATAGATCACGAGAGATCTAAAAAGATGTCAAAGACATACTTTCTCGGCTTCAGCTCAATTCAAATTTTTGAACATAAATGTGAGAATAGTTTTGTTACCGTTGTAAAGCTGCAGGGGAGTACCCACTTTCTTTATAAGAACCAATAAACTTAAGTTCAGGCTGACTGTTCTTAAATTTTTCAAAAATCTGAGGCTGGATTGTTCTTGATTTTTTCTTAAATTTATAGGGTGTAGGCAGTGCAATTGCTAGTTTTTTTGCTATAGTGTTCAGGCCTCATTTGCCAAGTGTGTGAGAAAACCCTCATTTGCTAACAAGTTTGAATATTCACCAAAAAACACCCACACATTGCTAAAATCTTCGTTCTTGAGATAAAACATCGTTCAAAACTGCATTTTACAGTAGTGCAGATTTTGACCAATTTTGAGGCTCGTGTTCTAAAAAAATTGTTCTTATAATAAAAGAATCTACTTCGCACGTAGATATGCGGGAGATTCATTCTGGTAACTTCATAGGTCCTCAAAAAGTGTTAGCTCATTTTCAATAAAAAACAAAAATTATAGTCCCCTATATGCCTATGTCATGTGCCGGGTGTAGTTTAAATCGTTCCTAACTCCTAACCATGCTCCTAATTATAAATGCGATTGACTCTTTCGTGACTTCCATTATCTATGCTTCCATAGAAATAGGAAGTCCTCTAATTTCTTTGGTGACTTCGGTCACTGTGGAGGAGACTCATAATTATTGAAAATAATTTATTTTGGCCTTCGGCGATTGACCATTTGAAGATACGATAGGAGAGGTCTGAGTGTCGCACCTTCGGCATAAAACATAACTGCAGTTGGTGGAGGAATTCACTTAAAGATGTTCGCGAAGTATATATTGATCAGCTCTTTATTTACTATTGTGCTAGAATGCTCAATGTCAACGGACGTTTTTACGTCCACAGCCGATATGGAATCTTTAGCTCTCACGGAGAGAGGCCTAACATTCGCTTTGCACAAATATCTAGAGACAGAACAAAACCGACTAACAGCTTTGAAGCAGTTCCTAAGTCGTGCTCAAACATCCATACAGCAGGTTAACAAGACCAGTGCGGGAGAGTTTGTCGGCAACCCTATAAATTCATATCTGCTACTGAAGAGGTTCTGGGTCGACTGGAAAAATATGGAAGAGCTGGTGACGAAAGATTTCTCTGAAGGTTTGCCCTGTTTACGACGATTTTTTTTAAGTGAATATTTTTTCTTCATGCACCTTTGTTGAGGTTATTTAAACTTGATATTTCAAATTCATGAAACATATTCAACCCATTCAGTAAACTTCATAAATGTCAACACAGACATGTGGCTGAGACGGCAAGCGCCAGTATTGAATACTGTTTCACTGTTTGTTTAATGGAGTTGATTTTTTCTACCTTGTTCTTCTGCATCCGGTGGCCCTGTCCGCCCTTTTCCGTGCACGATTATTATCACGTTCATCAGTCTGTTTTCCTAAGGGTATGTTCTTGGTTGGCCTTATGGTTTGAACCATCCCTTAGCAATATAATCTTTACGTGCAATGTAATCCAAATTGCAGATTAACACAGATAGACCTCGGCAAATGACAATATTTGATTTAAGCGCATGTAACGTAACTGTCTTTACATCGTCGAGTATCATAGCCTCTCGTTCTTTTGATTGATTCGAGACCTACTCTGACTGGATACCTACTTTGACAGGGTACAGAAGTTTGACTTCAATCTGAAAAAGAGAAGGTTCCATTTTGGAAGACAGACTGAATTTTTAAGATTCCACGAATCCTTGCGTAGTGCTTTCCTATTGCCCAGAAAGTATATAAGTCAGTCATATACATTAACTGCTTAATGGGTTATTAAAATGAAGGGATCATACAATTATAGATATATACCAGTTTTATTTGCTAATTAAATAACCTCAATAACCATTATTCATGGTCAGATGGAACCCATTAGAGTCAAAATATCCTAGAGTGGTATTTTTACCAGAGACCTTGTTCATAAAGAGGACATTTAGGAAACAGCAGAGAATAATGACAATGTGGCAGCTACTTTCAAAATATATAACAGTTTAAAGGTAATGTGTCCAGCTAAAGCAAGCAACTCTGGGGGGGGGGGGGGGTTTTAAAAAAATGTGATCGTCCCAGCCATAATGGTCCTTCTGTTTATCTACACTGCTGCAAGGCTGGCTTTTCATGTGAGCACTTTTGCATCCCATGAATACTTACCAATAGCAAGTTGTTATTTTGGTGTTACTTGACAAGTTGGGTATATGCAACACTTATATATGGGCAGATTACCTTTAAGGACGCCTTATAGCACGGCAACCCTATGCCAGTTGCAATCTGTTACAATAGGACAATTTTTGCCATTAATGCATTTTCTCTCCTACCCTTCAAGCAATGCTGATTTCAAACTTTTTGAGAGCTAAGTTGTCACACAGCAAAATCTAAATTTTCCTGAAGTATGTTTTCACTACCAGATGATTTTTTCATACAGTTCTCTGGCTGAAGTGAACACACAGTGTTATTAGTGTTTGCTGTTTGCACATTAGAGAATTTCTTGTCGATAATATAGATATAGAGAGATTTCAATCGAGAGTTTCTTTTTAGCAGCTTCCTATTTCAGAGTCAAATATCAGACTTTTCAAGTCCTTTTTTAATTTGAGTCACTGCAGGTATCTGTTTTTAAACTTTAAAGCAATTTTCCACATGACTCCTCCCCCCTCTCCATTATTTCCTTGGAAGTCTTCTTGCATCTCTTATCTTATGTAGGCAGTATACCTTAGGTTTTAAACTTTCATTGCTCTATATACAGTTCTTAATAATTGTGTACTCTGCTATGCCCATAATCAAATTATATGTTGATATGTGGTCTCAGTTTAAATAATTTCTTCAGTTAGCATTAACTCTTCTTTATCAAGTTTTAATAAACTCTTCCAAAACTCGTGTTTTTGTCTGCAATTGATGCATTTAATTTATCATCTTTTTATCTATAATTTTTCACAATTTTATAACCCTAAAAAATTGATCTCAAACTTTGATTTCACAAAATGTCCATTGACAGATGTGATGTCAACAATAGAAAATGCAAGGCCATTTTTCCCATCATTTGATGATTACAAAGGAGCAATGACTGCCATTATCAGGCTTCAAGACACCTACCATCTCAGAGCTGATAGCCTTGCCGAGGGGGTTTTGCCAGGAATCAGGAGGTCAGCAAGTCTGTCAATCAATGACATGTTTGAGCTTGGTCGACATGCCTATGAACTTAAAGATTGGTTTCACACCAAAGGATGGATGGAGGCTTGCCTGAAGAAAATGGGGAATATGAATATCAAGGATGGCATTAGAAGATTTGATGTTTTGGATCATATAGCTTTTTCTGAGTATAATGTAGGTGACAGTATAAATTTGTTTGCTAATGGTATTCTCATGTTAGGAATTTCCATAAATATGCTAGATTGGGTATAATGATAAAATAATGATAAATGTAAGTAAATTGTACCAGGAATAGAACATTGATTAATTGAATAATGATGCATAGCCCATTATCAAGTTAAATTGAAATGCAATGATAGAACTAAAAACGTTAAATGAATATTGGATTTTGACAGATGTTTTGGGGATTTTCAGTCTGGAAAACGTTTCAGAAACCTTAAGCTTTGTGTTGTGGTCTGATAAACCCATTTGAATTAGATTGCCTTTTCTTTGGCTTTTCAATTTCTAAAATGTGCAAATGCTTTCACCAATGTACTCAGTTTTTAATTGCATTATGTTTCTATTTAAAAGTTTCCAAATGTTATAATACCTAAAACTTTGAATTGCTGAAAGAACACCCAAAACTGAAACCTAGTGACCAAGCCAGAAAGCTGACTGTTTTAAAACACCTATGTAAATGTTCAAACACAATCTGTAAAAGTCTGTAGTAGAAAGAAATCAAATTATGATCCAAAATTATATCCTTGTAGTTCAAGCTAACAACAATGTGTGCACCTGCCTTACACCTTTCTCTATGAGTTATCCAAAGGTGTACTTTAAACAGACACCATGCCATAAAGGTTTTTAAATTGATTTTCTCTATTGCTAAGTGATTTCCAAAATGTCAAGTAAGGGAGAATACCCTTGTGGTTTTATCATTGCTTTTCTAGTATTTTTCTCCCCTATTAATTGTCTTTGCTTCACATTTGGCCAATGATATCTGCGATTTTGATAAAACGGACAAACTTCATAGTTTAACATTTTTGTTTATTCTATTGATTCTTTTAGAGGGGGAACATCAGAAGGGCACTAGCAGCAACCCAAGAGATGCTGAAAATAGGTAAAACTTTTTTCAAGAAATTTGTTATATATTGCTGTATATCTCATTTTATATCTCATTTAATTTGTTATATATCTCATTTTCTATTCTCTCATCTCATCAACAAAATTGTTTGAGATCATTGTCTCATAATGAGCATTTTTATGAAGCTGTTTCACCATATGAGTGGGCTGCTTGACTAAATTTTTATGTTTTGTTTTTCGCCTAATTTATTGATCATCTTTAATGATGTTGAATTTTCATGGGAAAGCGATTGTCTATACAAATGGAAACCAAAAATTGTCAAATCAATGTGAAAATTGATACTTGCTTGATTGCCAATTTTCCCCACTTCATTGGATCTTTTTCACTTAGAATGCTGAAAAGTTTCCTTGACACCTTATCATTCCTTGACAATAAGAGATTCTAAACATGAACTTTGATTACCTATTCATTATTTTGATTGAGATACATAAACAATTTTTAGTACCTTAATGGATTTTTGTCAAAGTTCAATTCCTTTATGATCATAAACATGTAAAGAATGCTGACATCATCAAATGTGATGCTTAATGTCATGGCTTTGAAGGTATTTTTCAAGCTAGTTGTCTAGAGAGCCAAATGTGTTATTTTGAAGAACCTGGTGATACAAGAGTGCTTGGAAACATGTTGTACTACAAAGAGAGTCTGCAGTATATGAAAGCAACAGGCCAAAGGGGAGATACTGGTAGCCTAGATGAATCTGTGAAGAAAGTTGTCAAGCGAAGTGCCAGTAAACAAGATGAATGGAAGGAGAGAAAAAGCACCATGGATTATGAACGACTCTGCAGAGGTGAAACAAGAAAATTGGTAAGCCTTTTTTGAACTGTCCTTTTTTCAATCAAATTGCATGATACTTAATGAAAATGATGAGTAAATTTTGCTGTTTTTCCTTGTATTGGCATTTTTGCTATGGTCCCTTAATTTGTAGAAACTCATTGATTGGACAACCTTGGAGCTTTGTTTTCATGGTCAGGCCTTTAAATGTTTACCTTACCACAAAATTTAATGAGCAGTTTGCAAATTAAACATAAAACAATGTAAAGATATATTTTAGATTTGTTTTATTTGCACCACATAACTCAAAATAGTATTGTGAAATACCTTTAAATATGAAAAATATTTTGATTGTGTTGGCAATTGGTTGAAATATGGTCACATGAGTGCAGGCTCTTTCCACACCAAATAACTTCAGTTTGTTCTACAATCTGTGAAAAGGCCAAACAACAGTACCGTATTTAATCCATCTGTTGATATTTATTTATCTATTTCGAATGCCAGGAAAAGGAACTTTTGTTTTTAGACTTTGAAGGAAAAGCAGAAGCTTGTATGCTGGTATCAAGCAAATGCCCCAAGGACAAAACTGAAGCCACTGCGAGTTGAAAGGGTATGGGTGTCTCCAGAAATCTTCTTGTTTAGAGGCATCTTGAGTGAATCAGAGATTCAAAAAATAAAGGAGCTGGCAACCCCTAGGGTATGTGAAATTTTAAATTGTTTTTATTGCTAGTAATTTTATTGTGTTGTTCCAAATAGACTTGGTATTTTTTTTAACGTATCTTCTTAAAAAAATTTTGTTTATCTTTGGCAAAATCTTTTGGCTATTCCAGCAGTGTGCCGGTTTCAAATACAAAAATCTGTTGAATTTCATCTGTGGGATGGTTCAAACCCACGATTGCTATCACTGCAAGACAAATAATCTGTGATTCCACGTGGTGTTGTGGGCGTTAACTCTGTCAAGTATTGACTTTGAAGGTGCTCATAGGTCTTCAATTGCCTTTTCACATTCCATTGTAACAAAGCAAGGGTTATTTGTGTCCCTTAAAGCAATATTATGTCGTTTTCAACCATTTCATGCCTAAAAATATATATATACTGCTGCAATTATATTTTGTAGTTGTTTTGTATTTTTCGTAAATTAAGATTATTTGGTATATTTCGCAAATTAACACAGGATAGATGTGTGGTAAAAATATTTTCTAGGGAAACTTCAATTTTAACTCTCTACAACGCCTGGTGATATGGTGTCTTTTTTAGAACCATATTCAATTTTCACAATTTCTGATAGCCGATTAACATAAATCGTTGTCAGAGTCATTGTACAAAAGTTGTTATTATATTCTACAAACATTTCATGTATAATCGAAAACAATTACTAAAATATACTATTTTCAAAAGGATATAACGGTTTGAATCTGCGAAGAAAAAACTTGGCATGTTCTAATCTGTTTGAAAAACGACCGAAATCCTAGAGCTTGCTTTGAATTATTCGTGCCTTAAATCACGCCACCAGTCTCTAAAAAGTTGTAATCCAACATAATCTAATGTAATCCAACATAATCTAATGTAATCTTACATATCTTATGTCATTTTCATAGCTAAATCGTGCTACAATCCAAGACCCAAATACTGGCGAACTGAAAGTTGCAGATTACCGAATCAGCAAAAGGTCAGTTTAGGGTCCATGAGTAAGTAGTGAGAGATTCTTGTGTGGACCAAATGCTAATTTTGCACAGTTTTACAAGTATTTCGCTTTTGAATTACAATTGGTCAGTAATAAGGAAGTGATTCTCTTGTACACGCCTATCGTTGGAAGGTAGCCTTCAGGTTATACCTTTGTACCTGCCTCTTTGTGGATAAGCGGTTAAACACTCGATGACTACTGGGTATATGGTAGCATGCAACGTGTATTCTAGTGGCATGCTGGGTAGCGTTTATATAAAGCACAAGACTTTTTTGTTTAGAGCAACAAGCAACCCCTTTCTTCATATTCAAATTTATGGCAAACGGTTTTTAACAAAATGCATAAACATTTGAATATCAAGTGCGAGGACGGCTCAGTGGTTCAAGTGCGAGGAAGGCGCTGCCCACAGATCCAAGGGTCCGTGGTTCGTGTCCCTGGCATGACCAAACATTCACCCAGAGTGAGGATAGTCGCCAGCTCTCTGTAAATATAAAGATAGAAAATACAAATACCAAAAATTCAAATACATTGGGAAAAGGTTTGAGGTTTTAACCCAATCTAACGATTTTACTTAGGGCAGCCTCTTTCTGTAATTTTCTCGGGAATTTAAGGTGCTCTGTTATTGCAGTGCGTGGTTGAAGTACGACAGCCACCCAATATTGACGGGGATCAAGCGAAGGACCGAAGATGCATCTGGCCTCACACTGGACACCGCTGAAGAGCTGCAGGTGGCCAACTATGGAATAGGTGGGCACTACGAGCCTCACTTTGATTTCGCAAGGGTAAGTTCTAGTCTTCATCTACTCATGGTGCCGTGACCAAAACAGATTTTAGCGCAAATGTACAAATGTAAGAATGATAGAATTATTGGGGAGAGAATTACTTTCTAGAACAATAGGAACAAAAGGGATTGCTCATTTGGAAACAAAGATATTTACAATTTTCGGTGTGGGCGTGGACCCACTTATAACAACAGGAATTACAGCCCTGTTATTGTCATATGCGTCCTTAAAAAGATTTCTTCAAAATTTTCTAATCTGGCCGTTTCAACTGTCTCTAGTTTCAAGCAGGAGACAATTTTTCCCACAATAACAAAATTTTTTAGCGTATACACCGCAAGAGAGAAGTCCCTGGAAGTACTCAGCAAGTTGTGCTCAGGTGGTACCTTAACATGTTTTAAGGTACGGGACGTGCCATTATTTTGGGGTTACTTTTTTCTGAAAAGTGCGGAATTATCGTTATCAGTTTTTGAAATATGTGCGGAACAAAGGGTACCATTTGAAGAAACATGCAGAATTATTTGTGCCAATTTGGGAAAATAATGTTAATAAGGAAGATTTAGGAGTCAAGTTAGAAATTAGAGTATGCAATATGTTTAATATTCAGATTTTGGGGCAAACGACATGTATAATTTGTTTGATGATTTTGATGCGCTTTCAAAATGTTTTTTTGCTTTGCGGAATTATGGCACAATTTTCTTCATGTTTGCGGAATTGTGGGTTACATTTTTACAGACATGTGCGGAATTATGGGTCAGAATGTGGAATCCTTGAAACCACTTTTTTTATGATATGTTTCAATTCTGAATTAACCGTCAGCTTTTCCTGATTAATTACTTGTAATTAAAAATGTTATCATTGCAAGGGTCACTTTTGAGTCAATGAAATGAATCGAGATGCGATTGTCCTGTTTAATTTTCTTGATAACATAGAAGTTCCCAATGTTAGTTTTTAGCTACACGGTCTTCATTTTAAAGGAAAATTTGATAAGGTCAGAATAAACTTGACATCCATACAACATTTTCATTCATTTACTGCAATCTTTACATCACCACACCCCCAAGCTTTCCCCTTCCTAGAATTTTCAACGGTTACATAAGCTGTGTGTGAATGAAGAAAAGGTCACTGTAGCAGGCTCCTCGACGGGCTCTAAGAAGTTCTTGCGGCGAAAAGTCGATACAGATGTAGCAAATATGAAACACCGCAATACGCCGAGAATAAACAACAATAAATACACGTAAATCAGTAAAGGCTAATATTTCGCCCTGTCTGCCGGCATCTTTTGCTCTGATGAAGCCCCGTATGCCGGGGCGAAATATAAGCCTTTACTGATTTACGTGTATTTATTGTTGTTTATTCTCGGCGTATTGCAGTGTTTCTTATTTGCTACATAAACTATGTTCTTGTAAAAAATATGTTTATATGAATAACAAGTAAAATGTTTTCCATTTCAACAATGAGAAGTGATTCTTTGATCTTGATGTCTCTAATAAGTGCTGATAGATTTGAAAATTACTGGTCTGTCATAAAATGCTAATTGTCGTATTCATGTAGGCAAAGCTCTGCATGCTTTAATTTAAAGAACAGAATCATCTTCAACTGCATGAATTTGCGCTTAGTGGTATCATCAGACACCTTCGGTTAACAGTTAATAGTTCAAAATATTTTATATTTAGACCGATAAATATCCCTTGACATACGATTAAGTTTTATGCGGTTTGCTTGCTGTAAAATAAGCTAGTTGATATGCTCAGGGTTTGTCTCTCGCAAAACGAATTAGGCAATTTGTATGGGTCTTCGGCTTTTTTAATGACCTTCATTTATGTTAATCCAGATAGTTTTGCTTGTCTTAAAATGATAATAAAATTTGGCGAAGATAACAATAATTTTAGTTGTGGCGCGGGGATGGAAACAGTTCCTTTCGCATGTTTTGTGTTCTAACCGCTAGTGACACAAGTCTTTTGAGTTAGGAAATAAGCATAAAAGATAGTTGTGCCTCTGTTATCTATGTTTGTAAATTTCTTGTGAACTTTATTCGCTTTTAATGTCTTTGTACTTTATTGGCTAGCAGTCTTCAAAACATGTATTTTCAGCCAGCCAACCGAACGCGCACAGTTATAGCCGACCTTTTGAATAATTTGAGCTATGTTTGGTGATGCTCCAATCTTCTCTGAAATCTAGTAAGGAAGTTATTTTTCTTGAAGCTGAAGTGAGGTTTATTCGACCCAACTTCGTTAAACGCTTTTGCATTTTCGTGTCCTGGAGAAAATGTTATTTGGCTCACTCGAATTAAATTTTACACCTGGCACTAGAGTTATTAGCTTCTGGTTTTGGAACTCGATGTTTCCAGCTAGTTTTGGAACTCGATAATAAAACCTACAATCTCTGCCAAAACTCCTTGGAACACCTACGTATTTTGCTAATTTTTTGCTTTTTTCGTATATTTCCCGTGTTTCTAATAGACAAACCCCCCCCTAAAACAATGTTGCTTACAATGCAGTTTATCACGGCGATCGGTAGAAAAAGGTTTGCCACAAAAGTATGTCTTAACTTAGCTGTGAGACAACATTGTTTGAAGGGGGGGAACGGATGCATGAAAACGTTGAAAATATCACAAGTGTTTCAAGAGTTTTGGCAGTGATTGTAGCTCAAGTTTTGGGGAGGAGTACGCGACACATCGATTTTCTCTTTCATCAATATACACTATTCTACTCGACTCGAAATTTCGAAATCTTAGTTTCAGCTACTCTGAAATGATCCACTTGACGACATTTCTTCACTTCCTGTTGAAGAATATCAAGCTTACTGCCTACCAAATCGTCCCTATCCCTACGCGCCCATGGTGTGGCTGTTATCAATACAAATAAAAAGTTTTAAAGGGATATTAAGTGCTTCGAATTTTCATCCTTCATCTATATCATCGCCATTTTATTAACATAACCATAAAAAATTTCAACTTTGCATTGAACCTCCCGATCTCTTTCTTTTTTCTCTCTGTTAGCTACCCTATGTGAGTAGGAATCCTCCTCATCGTATAACCCTTTTTGCTATCACGCCGTATATATATAGTCTTCTACCAACAAGTGTGAAACATGGAACATTGTTTATACGAAAGCCTTTTTCGCAGGAAGATGAAGACAAATTTACGGACCTTGGAACCGGGAACAGGATTGCCACGATGCTTTTCTATGTAAGTATTTGAAAAGTATGTAAATAACGTAGGTTTGGCTAGGTCTGTTAGGTCCGTAGCTTTGGTTAGATCTGCTTGCTTCAGTTATCATTATGCTTTTATATTTAGGGAAATTTGGCAGTTTAGCTTCGTTTGGAACAATTTTTTGTCTATGCAATATTTTCAGCTTGTTTTGAAGTTACCTTGTGTTGAGGAAACGTGCATGACATGCTAGAAGTTATTTTTAAACTGACATCAGCAACAATTTTCAGTCAATTATGTAACCTCCAGTAAAATAAAGACTTTCGTATTCTTTTATTGTTTTAAATTTATTTTTTCATTTTTCTGAACTCTTTGTATTGGTAATATCGAAATATTTCTACCTGAGAATATAAAATCGCATAGCATTTGCCCGAGACAATTCACATTAAGTCAGGTTTAGTTGGCTCATTTTATTTTTGCCTTTTCAAGATTTCAAATGTAGAGGCTGGCGGTGCAACTGTCTTCACATATGCAGAGGCAGCCATCAAGCCAAGCAAGGTATTTATTTCGCTATATCGAGTTTTGTTCCCTAACGGGACCCCTTCGTGTTACTATGTGCTATTTGTAGATGAAATCCAGTTGGTTTTCAATATCCTCTTGTATCATTCGACGCATGCAAAGTGTTCCAACCTTGAAGTATCCTCCTAATTGCTATCCTCTTTGAAGTTAAAGGTGTCATGTCACTAACAAGCATTTGTCCCTCCCCCAAATGTGACCTCATCTCGTGCGTCTATCACATTGGTTTATTGAAACCTAGAAACGGATGTCACCCTAAGCGGCAGTCATGTAGCAGAGCACATATTCGTAGCCACAGTCCAATGGCCTTCTCCACATAGTAAGCCATATTTTCCAAAGTTCTGGCAATCTACTTCATAGAGCAGTAGCTGATATTGCGGCTTGTCTGGTTCGTGAGCTATTAAGGAGAACTACCTTTCAATAACCAGTAAAGTTTAGGCAGAAATTATAAAGGTTTAATTAGATTTGACACTAATGTCCAGAAATTTCTGCCTTCTCCTCGCAAAATTGCGCATTTAAACCAAGTTTGGATTAATCGGAATCTAGATCGCTTCAGAACAAAAGTCCCCTTCTTTATGGAATGCTTTAACGAATGCTTAAACATCAAATTTAAGAAATTTCACCATAAAGATCTCCGAATGTAAAGGCAGTGAGAAAGAGCCATATGTGGATATCGATCAAATCTTTAGCTAATGATCAATGTCAGTCCTCATTGACTCTTTTGGTTCGTATGGGTGCAGAGATTTTTCACAAAAGGGGCATCTAAAATGCAATAAACAATAACCTTTGCTCTTTGGGAAGGAACTTGCTGATGAGATTGTCCCTGCCCAAATTCCCCTTTTGCCTTTTGACTGCCATGTTAATAAAGGGAAGGTAAAATTTAACTTTAGAGCAAAAAAGATTCGGAGGATTCGAGATGCATTTGCAAAAGTTAAGACATCAAAGAGCTTTGAGACTGGCAACATTTCTGGCCTAGGCTCTCTATAAAGCTTGCGCAGTCTTTATAGGAAATTCTCTCGAAGTTAGAAATCTCGGGTTAGCATATTTTTCAACATGGTAGCTAGGCCGAGATCCATTTTTGACGAAGTCATTTTTGACATTTTCGATTTACTTGACTTTTCAGGGCGACGGTGCATTCTGGTTCAACCTCAAGAAAAGTGGGGAAGGCGATTATTCGACCAGGCACGCTGCCTGTCCTGTGTTAGCTGGAACTAAATGGGGTAAGTCGCTAGTTTAAAGTACATGATATTTAGATTCTTAGCCGTCTTGATCGTAAACACAGATAAAAGCATCTTGATTTGTAATTAATTAATTAATGACTAGACCATGCTTTGCGATTTTTGACGCAGCCGTTTCTGAATGTATCACTTTGGAGTGTTCTAACTCGGCCTACTCGGCCAGTTTTAACATGTTTTGGGTTTTTGTCATATGTCAACACAGTCGATATTGCAAATACAGCCCTTGTTGAAGATCTCAATAAAAAACCAATTTCTTTTCGGCTTTACCAAATCTTATTTTCTTTTGTATGAGATGCATGTTCAATGATTTGCCGAATGAATTACTGTCTAGCATCTTGTGAAAGCAATCTCCCTTTTTAAGTGAAAAGTATAGAATTAAATCGTGGTTTCAAGTGGCAAACAAGTTGTTAAATTTTTCGTTATTTTTATGTTCATTTGCTTATATCGTTGCCAGAAACGTAAGTTTACCTAATGTTGATTTTTTAGTCTCAAACATTTGGATACACGAACTTGGGCAAGAATTCCGACGGCTTTGTGGTTTGACTCGTGGCGAATTGTAACAGTGATTGAAAGCATGTAGCCATAGAATTGCGTCAAAATATGCGCCAGCGTTTCCGTTAAACTGACGTTGATAGAATTTATAATTTGTTAATACAATATCAGCTTGAAAATGCATGACATTGTCCGGGATTGTATGAAAACTTAGTTTAAACAAGGTTTTGCCATATCACGGAACACCAGATTTGGGCAGTTCATCGTTCCCTTGAGCAACTGTATGATCACATACTGATAACAGGAGTTTGCGTGCTGCCGGTTTTAAGAGAGCTAACGTTGGCAATTGACCTAATGTCAGTCTCCGATGGGCACCCATTCATGTAGATATTAGCATAATAAAAGTAAAGGCTTTACAACTATTGATCTCATTGTAATGAAGTATTAATAAGAATTTTTCAGAGTTCCCTAACAGAAAATAATCTCAGTTGTTTACAGGTGGCCATTTCAGTATATTACGTGCAACTTGATTGGTTGAGAGAACAGACAATATATTTCGTCAAAATCAGGTTCTTTCTCTGACTAGTTCACTATTTTAGTTAATATCATATTGCACTTAATTTCAACCAGTTATGTTGTTTGAAGATTCTGTTAGACATCTTCAGGTTAAATTTCCTGTAACATAATTTACAAAATTCTCTATAACAAACTTCGTTATCCTTCGTTATGCATATGTTTATGGTTTTAAATAAAGTGAAGGCCATGCTCTCTTTAGTTAGAATATGCGCGAAACCACTTAATAATGTCGCGATAGTCGTTACTTATAATTGTTCTATTTTTGTACGCAAATTAGAGAAAATGTTAAATTTTGATAAACAAAATGTTGATTACTGTGATTAAGGTATTTTTTCAATTTTTTGCTACTAGTCTATATGTTTTTACTTGCGTTTATTTTTGTTGTTGTTTCTTGATTGTTGAATAATGTATCCAGGGTAGGTGTTATTTATATTGTTTTTGTAAATGAATATACGAATTATATAACTTTTTTAATTGAAAGGTTGTTTCATCTTTTGCTTGTCTTTTCTGCTTGTTTGAGCCTTTAACCATATCATAACTCTGGCAGAACCTCAACAGAAAATGAGTAACTGCAAGGCTCTTCCACTGTCATTTTGGAAGAGATCGGTTTGTAATTAATTTCTTATTATTTATATAAAAACCTCTTAGTCTAGAATTCCATAACTCGTGCTTCAACTCTAAGGAACACTAAATTTCTTCTTTTTTCAATCTTAGATTTTAACCTTAGAATATTTTACATTCTTAAATATAAGCTTTCGGTGCAAAACTTTTTCTATGTTAGTGTGATTTCGTCGCTTTGATCCTTGGAAAACTTTCAATTGCTGATTGAACAGAATTGGCAATGTTCTAGTTAAGAAGTGACAGAGGCAAAGACAGAGAATTACAACAGCTGATAATATACTCTATTGATCATGACAACTGCTTCACAAGTGATATTTTAAAGATATGATGGATTATCGAAAAATATACGTTTATAAGACTTATAAGAAAGGCGACAAACTTGTTTGGTCTGCAAAAATACTGCTTTATTGTAGTCGATCCAGACTGCAACGCCGCTTGAATTCTTGTCCTCTTTCATGAAACCATTTGTTAGCAACTAAAAGACGATTTCAAATGATGTTACTCTCCAATGATAATCATTGAAACTGTAAGATAATTCTTCGCTGTAAGATAACAGAAAAAATGAGCCTCCGATTAAGTGAGTTCACACGTGCCGTATCTTGTCACAGAATGCAAGCATATGGCGTGCATTTACCGTCAAAATTGTACTCTTGAATTTGGTGATAAGACCATCAAATGGGTTCACTTCTTTTTGATAACTCTCAACAGTTTTGACCAATCGATGAATATTGAATGACTTTTATTTTATTCAGAATGCACTTGCATTGTCGTTTTGCAAATTTTCAGAATTGGTTTGAGAAAGTCAAATGTAACGTATGCGTTAACTGTGCCTTTTGCCCGCATAATCCCTTGGGGGGAGGGGGCAATTAAAAATTGCAAACTAATAACATCAGATTCATATTTAAAATCCTTTTTGCTCAAAAATTGATGGACCATGCCCCCACTCTCCATCTTCAAAGGCTTTTGTTAAAGTCGCAGCCTTTTCACATTCACTCCCTGAAAAGTAAAAGCACTTGAAATTTCAAGGTACTTGATTGGGTGTAATCCCAGTGAAAGAATATTGAAAATCATCTTCAGCACCATAAAAGCAGTTAGAAGAATTATGTGTCCCATATGCTTTCTTTGTTTGGTTAATTTTTGGAGAGGATATTATGCTTGATAATCGGGAAAAATATTTGCGAGTACAAATTGAAGATAATACACTATTTTCCCTTTATGTAATACGATGTGGTATTGTAGTGTTTGCCCAATCAGCACTAATTGATTGCCCAGCCGTCAACGTCTCGATAAAAAATCCACCAGAATCTTGGAATACTGACTGCAATCGAACATTCTATGGCCCGTAACCTTTTGTACACAGCGAATCTATAATCCCATCATAGCCAAAGATTACTGACAAGGCATATTGGTCAGGAAGGAGACAACTACAACCAAGCTTTACAACAATAGATACATTGTTTAAACAGCGAAAAACAAGTCACGTTTGAGCAAATCAAGTAAGACTTACAACAAACTTTCAACAAACGTCGAGTAGGGCAGGCAATAAACCCCAAAATCTTTCATTCAACTTCTTCTTGAGTTTTTCTATATACTTTCCTATTTTAAGCTTTGCATTGTATTCCGATAATTGCCAATGTAATTGTAATATGTGCAAATTTTAACTGTGCAAATTTGATATCTTACCCCATTTATTGCCAATCAGAACCGGACAGGCCGCATGTATTGTATCAATTGTCCCTGTGCCATTTCTATGCAAGTTGTACCAAAACGCCATTGAACCTTGTTCTGGCCAAACTGTAACCTCAGCGTCAGTAAAAACAGTAGCTCCACCTTTTGGGACATTGTTTAGCTGAAATATTTTTGGAAGACTTTAAGATACGATTGGACATTAGTGATGTGCTTTAATTATCGATCTAGATGCTATGAATATTTTAGCTATTTACCGTTTGGTGCCCGTTTGAGGAGTTAACGTACTGTCGAGGCTTCTATGAATAAACATTGAAACTTCTATCCTAGTGCACATACCACAAATGCCATCTAAATTTCATGCAAGCAATCACACAAGGTCGGTCATTGCTTTAAAGGTGTAAGGAATGTGACAACTAGAGAAAACATTTCGATGTAAAAACGAGTAATTTTTTGGCATCTGGGGGTGTTTTGTCGGTAAATGTTCAAACTTGTCGACAAATAAAGGATGGCTCATTCAGTTTGAACTTCAGCACCCCCTTAAGCACAATAGCTAGCGACGGCCCTGCCCTCATATAAACATGCATGGCTTGAAATACCTACTTACATACAACAAAGCCGTTGCTATTCGATTGCCTTGTCCTCTTTTCTTCATTTCTGAAAACTCAAAATTTCTGGACCAGTCATAGTGAGGCTCATAATGGCCACCAATACCATAGTTTGCAATCTGAAAAAGCAGCGGCTAAATAACATCACGCATAAAAAAGGGTTAAAGGCCTTGTCAGTATATCCAATATTACCATGCAGGTAGATGCCATTAAATTATATGCTTTATCCGTCGCTTTTCGAAAGACATTGCAGTAATAAAACCTCTTAAAAGTGTGTTACTCAAGTTTATTGAAATAGTTTTATGCTACCAATACTGACATAACAACAGTATCCTTTTCAAATGCAGCTTAAGTCGATGGTTTTATGGAGAAAACTTTTAAAAAGAATATAAATGCGAGTGATCTGCTTATATTTATGAGAATGGCTAAAGGATTTAGGTGTCTATGGAAACCGCAAAACACTGCCAGACTTATTACTACCTTTTCAATTTTTCTTCTCGAGACTTATTTCAAAGGGTCTTTAGACGAGTACAAGAATAAACTCATTTACTGTGCAAGACTAGAGAGCTCTTTAACGACCAAGGTAATTCTGCTTGTTTTGATTTCGAAACCCCCTTCTCACATGCCTTTGCAAGCTTAATCCTTGAACATGAAGCAATAGTACTTTAAAAAAATATGGAATTACCTGCAAATCTTCAGCTGTCTGAGCGGACAATCCAGTTACAGCCTCCATTCTTTGATTGATCTTTCTAACTACCTCATGCATCTCATCGTATAACCAGCCACTTGCAACAAACAAGATCATTGCTGAATCAAATAAAAATGTAAATAAAGAAAGAAAGCTTGGTCAGGTGCTTACATTATATGCTTATTTGTGCTTCTCAGTAATATTATGTATTTTTAAGACAGAGCGGTGTGCTAGTGGGCGGAAAACAAGCAGAACTGATCAACAGTATTACCATTTTGATAACAACTTGATTTGCCGAGCCCTGTCTTTAAAAAACCTTTATAGGAAGATTGGAAAGTAGCAGAACATGAAAGTATAATCAGCCTATAGAATAAGATAGATACCAGATGAGTCAGGAGCAACAAAAGAAAGAATATAAGAATAAACAAAGATAGCATATATCTATAATGACGACATGTTTCGGATAATTGGCAGAGCCCGGTCGTCCTTCCATCTAGCAGTTTTGGAGTCAATCTACATAAAAACGAAAAATCCGCCATTGTGTAGACAAAAGGAGTTCGTTTTCTCTCTTGGACTCCATTGGTAATTTTTCTTTAGGCTCGCGGCACTGATTGGTCAACTATACCGGTCTTGTGCTTGCGTTTCTCTGATTGGCCTATTTCGATCCACAACTGGGTATATATTTTCCATCGTGTTCTTTCGGAACCTTATTCTAACGTTTTTGCTCTGAGGAGTATCAGACGAAAAAGCTTTTAGTATGTCGTAAAATGTTTGCTTTTTTCAAAGCCATTTTCAAATTCTGTACCGCAAAAAAATTGTTCACAAAGATAGCATATGTATTTCAGGGATGTCCTAACCAGAGAGTAACCTTAGAAAAGGGCGCAAACAGATTAAAAGTGTTAAAGAGAGAAGAGCATTTTTTTCAGAGGTAAAAGAAAGCTGTTAACACGTCATTAATCTGCTTACGTAGCCTTTCTCACAACTAGACTGAATCAGACCAAGGAATTGTGGTTGGAGGCCAGCCTAACCCAAAACAATGATGTGGAAAACTGTGAAACTCCTGTTTGACCTTTTCGTTCCCATTTATTTACTGTCTTTCTTTCATTTATTTACCTTCTGTCTTTCAGGGAATATTTCTGATACAATGGCTTGACCATTCACAGATCGTCTAGTTCTATTTCTTTGTTATTATGCAGCTGCACGCTAATCCTACATAAAAGTTAATTTGGAAAGATTCTGCTTTGGTGTACCTGATAAAATGAAATGGTTAAAAACGTTAATATTAGATTGAAAGAAGAAAATAATGATACCTTTGGCTGGTACGGTAAGAGACTTTCTTTAGTGTGTTGCTAGTGAGATCCGAGACGGAGGCTCTTTCTAGCTGAAAAACATCATTGAAGTTAGAGTAGCATTGCTTTTGTGGGTCTTGCGGAAAATATTTCTGGTACGGGAAGAGAAATCTATTGGGTTGTATGTTTGAAGAACCAATTAGGTTTCGTGTGGAAGGAATCTATGGGGTTGCATGTTTGAAGAACTAATGGGGTTTTGTGTGGAAGGAATCTATGGGGTTTCCAGTGGAAGGACTTTATGGGGTACCATTCTGAAGAAATCCACGGGATCAATGTGGAAGAAATGTATCAGGTTTTATGTGAAAGGAATCCATGGGGTTCTATTTGAAAGAAATCCGTGGTTTCAGAGAACTGACTGGGGGCAACCTCAGTTTGCAGAAACGGGTAAAATGCTCGGGTAATTCGATTTTTCGAAAGGGGAGGCTTGGTTCAGAAAATATCTAACCTGGGACGGTTTAGCCCCAATTGAATTAATTCTTACCTGTGGGAATGCCAATCGACGCAGAACCTTCGTTTCGTAAGTGCTCGCCATTTCGTAGATTAGACGAACTTCAGGCTCGGTAGATAGGATCTCGTATTTAATTGGTTTGATAATAAGACTTGGATGTTGCCTGATGTAACCACAAGTATAGCGTCTATCTCTGCTTTTCTCTTTCTGTCTTTTCGACGACATTTCACCACGACACAACGATTCATAGCGACGATGTATATAATAGTCTTCTTCATCTTTATCTTCTATCTTTTCAGTGCATCCTTTCAATTTTATCGTCCAATCCAATAATTCTAGATTATTCTTCGCTTTAGAATTATTTGAATCTACAAATTAAGCACTTGACAGTCAGAGCTTGGTGCTTCAATATTTGACAGCCCATGGAAATTTCCAAACTCTGCCCACTCGAATTCTAAAATACATACAAAAACCGAAACGGCCGTGTCTAGAGTATATACAAAAACCGAAACGATAAACATCGACTAGAAGTACGCCTGTGGAATTCGATAGAAAATTGCTATTGCCAGGCAAGATTTTTAAGATTTCCTTAAATCCACCTAAAATAACATAAAGGTGCTTTAATGCAGAAAAAATGTTTGAAAGGCATAGCTAGCATAGCAACAAATATTTACGGGCAATTCTATCAAATCTAAAACTCACCAAAATTCAGTATCTCCTTAGTAAATGTTTGAGCTTTTCCATAGTCACCTAGCTAGAAGCAGACAGATATTTTATATCATATCCTATCGATAAGAGAATATTAAATGTTATAAGAACTGATATGATTGCGAATAAAGAATATGAAAAGAATATATATTTCTATTCACTACTGGTACCTTAAAAGGCAACACAAGATTAAAATATAAATAAAATTATCTTGCATTTAACTGCGTATTAGCTAAACTTGGATGGCTTAGATACCGAAGCAAAACAGGCAACCTTCATGATTAAGTTCAAAACATTGCTCTGCAAATTTTTGTTTAATATCATGCTTTAGATTTTAAAGCAATTGTGAAAGATATTGCATATAAAATTTGACAAATTAAGAGAGATAGAAAAGAAAGTTTGGTAAAATGGTATGAACAATTGCGTGGGTAGGGCAAGGTAAAGTCGGAAGCGATTTGGGTGTTTAATTGTTTTTTATCTATTTAAAGCAATTGTGAAAGATATTGCATATAAAATTTGACATATTAAGAGAGATAGAAAAGAAAGTTTGGTAAAATGGTATGAACAATTGCGTGGGTAGGGCAAGGTAAAGTCGGAAGCGATTTGGGTATTTAACTGTTTTTTAACTATTTTACCTATCGTAACTATTTGTTTTTCTATCATTTTAGATGTATGACCCTTTGTAAACAAGAATTGCTTACTGGGCTATCATGCTCAATGAGCTATCATGAAAAATGAAATGAAATGAGACTTTGAACATTGAAAAACACTGTCTCTAAAAAGTTCAGAGTTTCATTTTCATCAACAAATGTGAGTAACAAAGCTAGCGATTCGGCTGTACAGAACGCTAGAAAAAAACTTATTGGAACTAACAGGCGGTAACAGGTAGCTAATCAAGACTTATTGTTGTGAACTAGCTGACTAAAAGGCACTCTGGTCCTTGAACACCATTAAGCAGCCCGCAGGTAACAAAAAACCGAATTGGAATGGGTGATTTTGAACAATAGCAACTATTGAGTTAAGGCTGTTGAAGCCATTTAGAAGATTGCCAATCACGAAGGTGTTGAAGCCAATCAGGAAAGAGAAAGTTTTGACTTTATAGCGCAAAAAGCGTGATTCTGCAACTTAAATACCTTTGGGAGTTCACAGATATTAATATAATGCATGTACGTACAGCCAGTATCGCAAAATACAGATAAGGAACCGCTTGAAGATAGCCAGTGTTAATGGTGTTGAAAATCAGCCAAGCATGCAGGGAGTAAGTACATGCCTTGTGCTTATTATTGGCCTTATTTTGGTCATTTCTGTTAACGGAAAAGGCAAAATAATCCCAGAATCTAATTGCAAAACGTATCCGTGCCTGATATTTCAAGATAACTTCGATGATTTGGACTTACGCACGTGGAAGCATGATGTCTCTACCGTACCAGGGGGAAATGAGGAGTTTCAGGTTTATGTGAACAATAGATCGAATAGCTTTGTACGCGATGGGTCTCTGTATTTGAAACCAACACTTACCCAGGATACATACGGAGAAGGATTTTTGAAAGCGGGAACACTTGACTTGTGGGGTGAGCGCTGCACATCAAATCGAGATAATACTGGCTGCTATAAAAAGGGCTCTGAAGAAGATATAATCAACCCAGTGACATCCGCAAGGATAAGCACATCGAAAAGTTTCAGCTTCAAATACGGACGAGTGAGTGTGCGGGCAAAGTTGCCAAAGGGTGACTGGCTATGGCCAGCTATTTGGTTACTTCCTAAGGACGAAGCATACGGTGACTGGCCATCCTCTGGGGAGATCGACCTTCTTGAGGCCCGTGGCAACGAGAATCTGTTTGACCGATCTGGAAGGCATGTTGGCAACAGGCATGTGTCCTCTACAGTTCACTGGGGCCCATATTATAAAGCAAACAGCTTTCTACGCACAATGGGGACAGTTGATATGAAAAAGCATTCGTTTTCTGATGATTACAATGTGTTCTCTTTCGACTGGACAGCGGATACCATGCACTTCTATGTTGACAACACAACTATACTCAAATTTACAGTTCCAGAAGGAGGGTTTTGGAAACTAGGGGAGTTTGAGAAGTATCAGCCTGGGATAGCAAATCCTTGGAAAAGCGGGGGAAAGATGGCGCCTTTTGATGAAGAATTCTTTATCATAATGAACGTTGCTGTTGGGGGAACAAAATTCTTTTTGGACGGTTTTACGCCGCAGAAACCGTGGAATAACAACTCCCCCAAAGCTAAGGAAGAGTTCTGGGCTGCAAAGGATAAGTGGTTGAAAACATGGAAAGGGGATGATGTCGCGATGAAAATCGACTATGTCAGGGTTTGGAAACTGAGGTCGGATGAAAGCGAGGTTGAAAAGAAATTTGATGAAGATATTGTGAAGCAGAAACATGAGGGAAATACAGAATTTAATTTGGTTTAAAAACAGGGAAAAGTTGGAATGTAAGATGGGTAGAGAGAGGTCTAACATTGTTAACATTGTTTTTGAAATAATTTTCTTGAAGATGGTGACATCCTTGGCGTCAATTGCCATGGACAGAAGCGCAGTCAGGGACAGGAGTAAATTATGGCACACAAGAGTAGTGCCATATGTTCTAGAACCTTAACAGTTATGAAACTTTCTTACAGCATTGTTAGAACATTGCTTTTGTGTTAATATTACGTTGTTACTTTCTTACGGGGTTGTTAGAACATTGTTCTTGCGTTCACATTGAGTTGCCTTTTTCTTACAGCGTTCTTAGCACATTGTTTTTGTAATAATATTGCGTTCTTCGAATATTTTTCTTGTGTTAATATTGCGTTGTCTTTTTCTTACAGCGTTGTTAGAATATTTTTCTTGTGTTAATATTGCGTTGCCTTTTTCTTAAAGCGTTCTTAGCACATTGTTTTTGTAATAATATTGCGTCGTTAGATTATTATTCTCGTGTTAATATTGCGTAGTCTCTTTTTTAAAGTTTTGTTAGAACATTGTTTTTGTATTAATTTTGCGTGGTTAGAAAACTGCTGTTGTGTTCTTATGGCGTTGTTACCACATTGTTACATGGTGTATTCCGTTACATGCTGGATTACATGGAGTGTTACATGATGTTTGCATGAAAGGATAAAATCAAATATGTTTTGGGTTCTGCTTAACAAATATTCATCAGTTTTACGGAACTGAATTCATGAAAAAAGCTGTAACTATCTAAAGATTCTAAGAAATTCTTACCTGAAAGTTAACATATGCAAGGTGGTCCCTGATATCAATATTGTAGTTGATCTCACTGCTATTAAATAGTCTGTTAGAAAGAGAATATATGCTTGTTTCATTCTCAATTTTCTCTAAGGCCAGCATCATCCATTCTCTGGTGATCCTCAACTTATTTTTTAGGAAAGCATTACGTCCCAGTTGGTATATTTCATCTAATGTTAATAGGGTTGCATTTACGCCATGGCCTGAACACAGCGCAACCAAGGATCTTGCGTCTAACTTATATGCTTCTTGGAGACGTATGATCGCATCAGTTGAGCCATCTATGTCATCTTTTGAGGGCAGTAAGCCCTTGATATCTTTAAGGTATAAATTGAACTCTAAAAGAAAACAAATCATTTGTATAGTAAATTCATTCATAACAAGAACAGTTGAATGAAAACTCTGCTGTTGTTTGAGAAGGCACTCCTTTGAAGCCCGAACAACGAAGTAGATTTTGGAATCATATCTTACAGTTCATACTTATCTTTATCAGATTTCTCTTTTATACCGTAATTATCACGACCATTCACCTTGACAATGAAAAGATTCAAAGTATTTTAATGTTTAAATTTATACCAAATGTCAAGTAATGCAGTAAGAAATTATTTTTTATGTTTTATGTTTAAAGAAAAGCGATTCTTGCAAATATGCAAAGCTTTGTTCCCAATACTGATTTGACTTGCTAAAGCTATTGTCTTGCTGTAGAAGGCGACTGGCAATCTGTAAGAAAAAGAGAGTGAAAGGCAAGAAGAGAAAGTAGAGTAAGATCAGGAATCTGAAATCAAGGCTTCACAGTCAGTTTCCCCAAGCTCTTTCTTGTGGAATTGTCTGACGATAGAGATTTTGACAAGTCAAAATACTGACAAATTGAGAAGCATTTTCACTCCATTCATTTACAACGCACATATGACACAGTTGTGAAACACATTTAATCTTACAAGGTTTAAAGAAGGTCACATGGTATGAGCCTGGGATTAAGATAACTGGTAAAGGCTAGGTTACTAAATCAAACTTTTCGATTCGCATGATTGGAAGGAGATTGTAGCGTCTGGATAGAGAGCCTTTCTTTCACATCTTAGGCAGTCTTCACAGATGAACAATAACTTCGTTAATGCACATAGGTCCATCTACTATGCAAAATATATTGTGTGGTTGTCATTGCAAATATTTGACTTACCAAGACACAAGCACGATGTTATTAATCAAATCCTTGTTTAATGAGAAATTAGTGTATTTGCCTAACTTTTTCAAATTTTTACTTTAAGATTATTAGCTTACTGTTTTTTTCTTTTAGAAGCATTTCTCAATTATACGCTGATTTTAATTTCCAGCTACCAAAACATTTGATAACGTTGCTTTCATACATTTAAAGATTTTTTGACTGAATAAAATATCCCTAGAAATGTCCTGACATTTAAAAGATGTCTGTAGATTTTGAAAAGAGCTCTGAGTTGTTTAGAAGTAGCAGAATACATTGAATTGTGAAGATCCTTTTATCAGGCTCTCTCGCAGCCACGGGTTGAGTTTGCTTCTCAAGTTGAAAAGGGTTCGTAGACCGCAGCCCCTTTGGCCTTACTAATTTTATCTAGTTTTAAGTTTGGAAGAAAGGCAGAAATCTGTTAATAAGCACCCATAAGAAAGGTCGCTCACTCGATGGTTCGTTTCAACAAAAATCCAAACTAGGATAAATCAAGCAGTTTTCAATTTGAGATTAGACTGGCAATTTTTTTACATGGCCCTGTAAAAAGGCTATTACATTGCGAGGAGCAACATAAAAAACCAGAATAAGATCTAGAGTGAAGTAAAGTATAGACAGCCACTTCCACTGATTGCTTAACCCTTAGGCACTTAGGAAGGGGACATGTGGGGGCGAGTGATTAAATAGGATTGGGTCTAGCATGATGTTACTGAATACAATAAGAAAACGATGGGAAAATGGTTAGATCCAAACAATTGAAAAGGCCGTGGTTTTTTGACATTTTACCCACGAAGCCCTTAACCTTTTCTCGAAAAAGGTAAGCATCTGTGTCGCTAGATCCTCCCTCCCTCTATTTAAGGTCAAAATTGGAACAATAATTCATTGTGATTTGTACTTCTCGTCACTTGAAGATGGAAGAGACGTTTAACTTCGTGAGAAACGCAAAATGGAAAGCTACCCCCCCCCCCTCCTCCCCCTGACGAGAAAATGGCACTACGATCTTGAAAAAAATTGAAAGGAAAAAATAAAACCCCCTGAAAATTTATCTGGAACCCTTAATTTTCTACTCCATCATTTTATGTTCACTAGATTTGCGTGTTAGCTTGCCTCCGCATATCACCGACAGCCTCTCTTTTTTCGGATTCTTTCTGTATCCACTGCTGCACGCCGGGGAAACATTTCAACATCAATAAGTTTTGAGGTATCTTTGAATCTTCTAAGAATAACTAACTTTAGCCTATAATTATTTTCATGAAAGATCCACAAAAACTTTTGTTTTTCTTTAGGGGTATTCGTTGTACCCTGCTTTTAGGTGCAGCCTTTAATCAACAACGCCGTTGACAGTGACGTGGTGTGACGGAGGCATCTTGGGCACAACGGAAAAAACTAAGACGAGGCCATATTTACGGACTGCAAGAGAGTCCAATCCAACGCTTGCAAAAACCGGCGAGATAGAAATAAATTTTTACCTCGTTCGATAATGGGAGCAGTGGTACCGAAGCTTCAGCCGAAGAACTTAAAAGTTTTTAAAAACGAGGTTAACTTCAGCGAAGTCTTAAAGTGCCTATGCAGCGAAATTTACCATTCCAATATTTTAAAAGAAATCCATAGAATCCTTCGCCCTTGTTCTTATACAAAAAACAGAATTCCGATAAGTTAAATGGTTCTTTTTTTATTGAGCGTCAAAGCATGCATATTTTGCAGTTGCGTTGCGAAATTTTATTTCCCGCTGTGATCTCACAGTGATCTCACAGAGGCGAAACTATTTAGTCAGGCCTGTTAAATCATTTATTAGGTCGAATTGTGCAAATTGTGATACTAGCATGAAACTTTGCAATAATGGACAGTTTGATACGCTGAAAAAAAAAGGATAGGGACCCGAACTGAAAATTGCCCCCTTCAGCTATTTTTAGCTGGGGTACTAGGCCCCAAGACTCTAGCGGCGATATTACAATATCTCTGCTGTAAGTAAGTACAATAACGTGAAACTTTGTAACAAGTGACAATCTGATACGCTAAAAATGAAAGGATAAAGACCCCAATTTGAATTGCTCCCTTTTCTGTTTTAGACTGGGGTACTTTCCCCTAGGCCTTTATTGAGGTATCTTTTTCGGCTCGTTAAACTGCCTGTATATTGTGAATTCAACTTTCTTTGAACTAGAATTCTCTGTTTATGGCCAATAGTACAATTAGGGGTCTGGACCAGAGTGCCCCGGTCTAAAAATAGAATTTAGGAGCAAATTATGAATCGGGTCTATATAACATCTTTTTTGTCTAGTTAAACTGTCTTTTTATTGTGAATTTCAACTTTCTATGGCCTGGCATTCCCCGTTTATGACCGAAGGTACAGTTAGGGGTCTTGACCGGAGTACCCCAGTCTAAAAATAGATCTTATGGGCAAGATATGATTTGGGTCTATATCACATCTTTTTCAGCGTATCAAACTTTGTGTTTTCTGGAATTTTGGTCCTTGTATCACAATTTGCACAATTCTTCTCCATATCTCCCTCACTAGAACCTATTCTGTACAACCGCAGTTTCCTGATTGCTGTCCACCCGACTCATCACTGTGACGTCATAAACTGGCCTTGATTTTCACAAGTACTACCTAATTTGAAATTCTGATTAAACAAATTTTTGCTGGTCAAATTATGGCAATTTTGGTGTCAAACGTATCGTAAAAGATAGGAGAATGTAACTCTTGAAAAAAAGCAGGACATAAAATTTCGCTGCATAGACACTTTAAAACCATGGATATAAAACTAATTTCAAGGCTCGTTTGGCTTTGGGCGGGCCCTTAGTTTTCGAGCTAAAGTGCCCTAAACTGCGTTGCGCCGCTGGCTGTGGAATGAGATTTTGATTATTTTTGCGCCTGGTCAGTCAAGAGAGATGAATTTAAAAAATGACTAGGTGCTCAAATGCATTTGCTAAGGAGGGTAAAAGGGTACATCCCTTCATTTCCTTTCACGTATGGATATCACATATCAACTTCATTCAATGAGAATAAATCCGCGAACATTTAGATCGTAAAGTTCCGAAGGATTTTCTTCTACAAGGCTTACAGACATCGGATGCCTGTAGAGGAAACTGGAATACTCAACTATGTCCTTGGAATTGCTTTCAAATGTAGTTACTGTCAACAAAGAAGTTGCATCTATTTCCTTAGAAAAAGTTATCGGAGCAATATCATAAAATATTGACATACCACAATATTAATGAAGCATAGTCATCGAAGGCGAGGAACTCCTAATACAACAGGCTTATCGTAAAAATAACTCTGGAACGTTTAAATGCTTTTGCCATTCCCCCGTCATTCATTTTAAAGCAAAATACATGTTCAATAGGTATTGGCAGAGGAACTTCCCACTGATTTCCACATGAATGTCATTCAAAGATCTCCTCCTCCGAATATCAAGGAATATTTCACAACAGTATTCTATTAAAATCCCGTACCTTTTAAAGTTGCGGGATATCGCAGAGTTCATTCAAACCGCAAAAAAAGATTTATGAAAATAAAATTCTTTTGGCCGTTATTGAAAACTGTCAACAGATGTAATTCATACTTAGACTTACTCTTGTGTGCTGCTTTGAGATCAGAAAGCCAAGCTGAATTTGTTCTCAGTTTCTTTCTGACCCGGGCAAATCTTGACAACACAGCAACAGCATAGTCTTCCTGGTAACTGACATTGCTGCTGGGATCGTGAAGTAACCCCTCTTCGTTAACACTCTCGTCCAAAGCATGTTTCATTCCCCGTAGATTGTCTTCTACGCTCGTAATATATTCCCTCAAAGCATCTTGAACCTCGTAATTAATGTCAATAAAGTTCTCGATCTGCGCCACAGAGCTGTAGATCTCGCAATTTCGCCAGCTAAACGACTGCAGCAGTAGAACAATTGTAGCAAAAAAGCCAACCTGGGATTTCCAAGAACCAAACATCGAATATATCAATAATGCCAGGCCGTTCACGTTTTAAAGCCAATTTCTCTATCGCTTCCACAGATTAGCACATCTTTCTGTCTTTGACTCCCGATCATAAGCTCGTCAAACGATGAACAGCAAGGGTTGCTGGGCTTCTATCAAGTTGAAAGTTCATCGCCTTTGCTTGCAACACCATTATTACCATCGTTTTAATGTTACAGAAACGGGGGTTTCTTCAATAAAAACAGTTTGACGGAGGCTGGAACTAAGCTATTTTAGCTCCCAAACTGAATTTATTGGCTCATAACTGTGTCTGGCCTTTATCCTGGATTAATGTTCTTTAATTTTTGCCGTTTCCCAAAACGGTGGCTTATCTAAAAAATCCTTTGTTTAGAGAAATGAGAAAGGGAACTTTATCATCAACAGATCTATCAATCAATGGTTATGGTTGGTATTTTCGACTGTTTGTTTCTGAATGAAGTTTATTTTTGAATTACCTAATTGCGGACGGGAGAAAGACTTTCCTGTTCTTTTACGGTATTAATAAAAAATACCATTGGTCTGATGGAAGTGACCGCAACTCAATGGCCTTAATTATTTCTATTAGTGGTTTGGTTGCAATAGTTTGGTTGCATGTGCGAAATTGGAATACTCAGACAGCCTATTTTGTACAAATGTCATTACTCAGTGGCGGTCCTATAGGGTCTTACGGTGTAACAGTCATACAGTGCTATGGTAATATGTTCGTAGACAGAGACTAGAAGACAAGCATCGAGAAAACAAGGGTTCGTACCAACTCAAAACCAAATTTACTTTGTTTTTGGAGAGGATTTTAAAATTTCGTGGAATTGCTCGCATTGATGATTTCGAGGCTGGCGGAGCCTCCTTGCTAAAATTGTTCTTGATTTTAAGAGTCTGACCGGTAAAAGGACGGAAGCAATATTTTCTGACAATAATTTGTGGGGGCAAGAAATTTTTTGGAACAAAATTGGGTGTGAAGCCGAATTGAATTTTTGAAAAGTTATTTCAAATTGTTACCAAATTATTAATTTTCTATGACCCCTCGAAACCAAAAGATTCAGATGCTGATGTTGAAAGGAATCATCCTTGGCTGTGGTGGCATTTTGTCTCTTTGCAAAAAATGTGTCCAATGTCTTCTGGCAAAAAGACATTAGATAATAAACTTCAATATTATTCTACCCAGTTACTTGGTAGAATAAAAAGAATTCCAATTTGGACAGCTACAGACAAAAAAATGGTTGAAAAGATTTAAAAGGAGGGGTACCAAACACTTTTGCATATTTTAATTGGGTTTTGGATTTTTTTACCGCTGTTTTCATGAGGTTTGAATTTTTTGGTGCTTCCAAAGATTTGCTTCTGCCCTTGTACCAATCAGACTTTACGACTGCTCAATTAGTTGGCAGATTTTGTCGACAAGTAAAGGACGACTCACCAAGTTT